TTATCTCAGACACCAAACGCATGACATCACCGCAAAGGAAGCGGTCTGACTAGCCGGGAAAATACTAGGCGAGTGCAGAGACCTCTAGATAAATCTAGAAAGCTCGTTAGCGGTATATAAGCCCTGCTTTCCGTTCATAGAGGGAGTCTGTACCAAGAAAGCGAATCGAGCGGTTAACAAACGGTAAAGATAAATTACTGCAGTTTCGTACCATCTGGACATTCTCAAACTTGAACAGTTTATTGTTCAAGTTTGAGAATGTGTATTGTGTATTGTTCAGTAACGTTAGTTACAAATAAAAGTGGTAAAAAACATAGAAATTTTCATTTCTCTTTTCATCATGATCTCCTACCACGTAGTAACGGCTACATCCATCGATTTATTGATAAATTAAGCGTTAGTTGCTAAGTGTTGTATATAAATTAGTTTTGAAAGTGAAATATTGTTAAAAATAAATTTGTTTAAGACAGTTAATTCTTTAATTCGTTACAATATACTTTCATTTACAATTTTTTTTGTCAGTTTGACTATTTATTTCAATGTTAAATATTTTCTATTCTGCCTAAAAATACCTAATATTGTTTTTCTTTCTTCAGGAATCGTCACCTTGCAAGGCTTCCTGTATTTTTGGGGATGGGTATTCTTGGTTACTACAAGTCTGGTAGCATTGTTGAAAAAAGAAACTGAACCACACAATTTAGGTCATATTAACGAACATGATAGGGACATTAAAACTGCTTACAAGTCTTTAAAAGAAATCCTGAAGCTAAGATCTGTTCAAACTTTAGCAATAATTTTGCTAACATCCAAGGTAAGATCTGTTCCAGGACAAGTAAAACTAAAATAATTATTTCACATTACTTCAGTTTTAAAATATTAGAGAAAGTGTCATCTTGTTAGTGAACTGAAACTATTCTTAGAAATGGAAATTATTTATAGAATTGAAATATAATTGAATGTTCTCTTTTGAGGATACAAATTGAGAAGAACTGAAAAATGTTCCTTATGAACGATGAAATCCTTAATATTTTTAAAAATGTTTATTTGTTTTAGTAGAAAANTTCACTCAAATATGTGTAAAAAAAATACTCCTAAATAAAGTAGGTATATTACAATCTTGTCAAATATACTATGATTATTTCTCTCTTTGTATAAAAATGAGAAAATAGTTGAAAGCTGTCGTTATCGCTGACATATGTCGACAACATTTTATTCATTTGGCCTCATGGACATGAAGAACTTGACTGTTTCATAGCTGAACCCAATCCACGAGAAAATTAATTTTGCCCTAGAGGAAAGAAAAAAGCTAAAGCAACCCTGCCCTATGTCAGAAGAGTTACAGATAAAGTAGGGTTAATTCTCAAACGACACAACATAAAAACAACATGTAAACTTATGAGAACCATCAAAATAAATAATAGTCAAGTAGTGCTCAACATTTATTCCACCGTTCCATCATACCTCACCTATAACCTATAATATGTTTTTTTGATGAAGAGCAACGTGCATATGACCTGATGTCCCAGAAGGAAAAATTTGAAAAACATACTTCAAAATCTGTTCAAGAACTATACCGCTTCACATACGAACAAAATATCTAACTAACTTAAGTTTGTCTAGAACAAGTTATTATTTTGCTGTTTTTTTAAGAATGGTATTGATTAAGAGGTGGTGATTTTTGCTCTCCCTATGAATAGTCATGTATGGGATCGATAGCAAACTCAAACTCCATCGCAACTCCTAGTTTCGACATCTAACACTAAATCAGAAATCGCTTTCCGTCTCTCTCTGTAGCTTTCATAGCAAGCAGACAACTAGATGATACAAGACGAGCCTATTGTTGAACTAAGACAATGTTTGTAGGTTTTGCACATTCTACGTGAAATTATATTTTATTAATGGTATTGAATGTTGAAATGAGAAAGTGTATATACAATAGTGTCAAGAATATGTCCCCAGGATTTTATCCATCTGGATCACTGAAAACACAAAGGCAAGAAAAATAAACTATCAGCTTCAGGTCATGGCATAATTGTAAATCATATTCTGCATGAATTCAGAAATAACCTTAATGATTTTTTTACTCTAAAACTTTGTATAAATACCTTTATTGAGGTTGCTGGCAGTAGCTCCAAGTGCACAGAGCCGCACTACTGTTCCCAATGAATTCACAAGCTCAATGTGTTTGGAAAAGCATCCTTTCATGGTAGCATCAATTGTTGAAAATATACTTTTCAAATTCTGAAATTCATAATGTTCTTTGAAAAGCAATTGAACAAAATTCAAAAATTCTTATATCATATAATACCAATGAGACTATAATGTTTAGAAACAACAACACCTTCATCAATTAGAGAAAAATGTGTCATTCAAAATCAAANAAGTTCTTAATCGTTTCCTCAAGATTATTTAGAAAAATGTCAAAGATCCCATTTGGACTCCTATAAACTACTATTACTAAAGTATTCAACTTACAATTGTTCAATACACCTAAATTACATCTAATTGCTGTAACTTCAAAATCTATTTCAACAGATTTGGTTTTCACTGTTTCGAAATTTATATTATTTCTAACATAAATGCCTACTCCTCCATGCAATGATTTTGTTCTACAAGAAAAATTAGCATTTTTAAAACCATCTAATCTAAGAGTCGTATTAAATTCAATACATTAAGTAAGTGGAAATAAGACAAAGTATTTTATTCCTATATCTAATTGAAGATGAATTTCCAAAAAGTAAATAAGTCGTCAATATCACAAAATAAAATATAGCAATTTCCTCACTAATTTTCATTGCTAAAAATGTACAAATTTATCAAGTATTTTTTATTTCAACTTGTTGTTTTAGGACCTCGACCTTTGAATATATATGTGAAAGCTGTACCATATAGGTTAGCTTTTGGGTTTGTGGGGGCTTTTTTGGTATGGATTACCCCTTCATTTGTTCCTGATCCATCAGAAGGATTACCATTTTTATATGTAGCATTCTTACTGGTTTGTTATGCTCTCCACCAGGTGAGAAAAAAAATATATAATTTTTATCTTAATTCAATTTGTTTTGGCTTTTAGGTATGCGTATATTGTATGTTTGTAGCGGTAATGGCATTTTTTGCCAAAGTCAGCGACTCTTCCGTTGGAGGCACTTATATGACGCTTTTGAACACTCTCAGTAACCTTGGAGGAAACTGGCCAACAATTCTGACTCTTTACTTTGTTGATCCTTTAACTTGGAAACAATGTGAAGGAGGTATGGAAAGTATTGATAACGCTTGCAGAAATACAATTGAAAAAGAAGTAAGTAAACACTCTCGTGGAATTATGAATTTTCGAGAAAATGGTATCATATTAAACAGATCTTTTTCATTTTGCAACGAAATTTATTCAGAAAAGCAGAAATAAGTTGTAAATTTGAATCATGCCTAAATATCTTGTCATAACACCATTCAAGAAAGCATCCATAGTAAATCTACAAAAAACATAATTGAAGGATAATTCAAACAAGCCTAAGAACAAAATAAAGATGCCATCTTTCATACATGCAGTCGAACCGTGTTGAAATTAATCATCGATCTACATGATCGATTTCAGTGTAGCTCTGCGGCTGGATAAATAAGAAACATCTGCAAGACTAACCTCTGTGAGATATCTTGCATAAATGTCTGTTGGATATCATTCAATACGTGGTATTAGCCGGGGAAGTAGTTGTTTTCCGGCCAGAACCTACGGTGTAAGTAGTTGGGAAACATGGATGTTTTGAAAATTTTATTTCAAAATATTTGCTTTTTTCTACTGTATCTCTCCTCGATACAGTTTTTATGAGAGATAAATGAGTCTCTCCAAGTAGATCAGTTGAACCGCCAATCTTCTGTCTGTTTAAAATCTGTTTTTCCGTTAACCAGCTGTCGCACCCCTACGAACGACAACCCTCAGAAGTCGAAACTTGTGTGAGCTAAGGACTAACGAGGTCTTACCTTTTAACGTGTGATTCCTAACACGGGTTGGACAAAAGCGAGTGAAAATCGATCGTTTAGTCTGGGACTTGAACCACCGACCAACACCGCGGTCGATTTGTGTGAGTGAACAAAGCACCGACGTCGAATCGACCGGCTACCGACTATGTTAGAAAAAAAATGTCTGCCTCTCTGATCTAGGGACTTCCTATAATTTTTACACACTGCATATGGTGAATCCACACCTCACAAAAAATTTAAAACCCACCCTACACTTCAAAATGCAATAAATGTTATTACATTACATTTCACATTTACATTAAGAAATGCTATTATAATTAATAGGAGTATCTGTTTGAAATGCTTATTCATAATGAGCTTGTTTTATTCAATTTTTTATTGTAAATTATATTTTTAGTATACAGTAATGACACTGCTTGAGTAAATTTTAATGAAATCGAGTTATATTCCAAATGCATCAAATTTAATCAGTTGAAATGTGTAGTTACATTTAAATTTTGAAGTCAAATTTTAAAATTTTATAGAAAGGAACTACGTGTTAATATTTTTCCATCACCCCCTACGGTTGAAAACCCTCAAGTCGAAACTTGTGCGAGCTAAGGATTAACGAGGTCTTTAATTGTGGCGTGCTATTTTTAGCGCGGATTTTAAAGAATACACTATATTTTCATGTGATATGATATGCTTTGTTATTGATTCAGGGAATGTTTTCAGGTATGTATCAGCAAGGGTGGAAAATGCATAACTATTTTGGACGGATTTTATATTGAGACATTAATATGTTCAGTAATAGGATTTTTATGGTTATGGTGGGGGGCAAAAAAAATCAATCAAATACAGTCACTCAACGAGAATGCTTGGAAACTTGACAAAAGGAAAAATAATAGAAGATAGTGTACACTTTAAGGCATTGTATATATTAGGTTCAAATGTGAGTATTTCAGGTTTGGTTTAAATTATTTTTTGTACAGATATTTATAGAAATTATATGAGTTTGTTGAAGGTGTGTAAAGCTTTTGAGGTTTTTGTGAGATATTAGAACTGCTGTTTTGATGATCTCATACATTTGTGTGAATATGCATAATTGTGTATGCTTAGAGAGTTGATAATTCATATATACCAAGTGACGAGAACCATAATTTTTTTTTATAGAAATAGCACTTGACTTTTTTCACTAGCATGAGATTTGTTATATGTTCTTTTTATACTGTTGTACAAACACAAAATTTGTACTTTCAAAAAAGATAAATTTGCTTGAATAAAAGAGACGAAAGTTCTTGATATTCCATCTTTGTTGCTATGTATACCAAAAAAATATATAATGAGAAAGGTATTTTTTCAATAAATTACATCTTTAATATTTCGAAGTTAAAATCCAAAAGAGCATTATCCCCAAACACTGGAACTGCAGTTCTTGTGCTTGTTTTGGATTTATTCTATACCAGAGGTTCCTGTCTTTCCTTTCAGTAAAGTCAAAATATTATTTGTTATCATAGTACCATAAAAATTCAACTTGGTTAAATAAAGATTGTATTTCCCTTTTTCACAACCTCTTAAGAATCCTAGCCATTTCCCTAACCTGGTTTATTGATATTTGATGTTCGCCTCATTCAAAATACCTTGTATTATCCATGAAACTTCATATGAGAGGTTTGACAACGGCGCACCATCTTTATACAAAAAAACGTGGGAAACTTTCAAATAAAGGGAGAAAGCAATTGAGTTGAACTTAACTGTTTACTCCTCCTTCATTTTTATTTGAAAAAATATGTGGGAAATTCCCGAAGAAAGAAAGAAAGCAATTGAATTGAAAGTAATTGCCTTCTACTTCTCCAATTTCATACCAAGGAAAATATGGGAAACTTTCGAGAAATGGTTGAAATCAATTCAGTTGAAGAAAAAAACCATGAAGTTTTTTTTTCCTGAAAATTAATATTTCCTAAACTGTTTTCATCAAGAAAAATAAAAAAGAAGACAAATTTCCGAACAGAATGTTGTCCAACTTGAACCACCTTCAACTTTCTTTGAAATTTTGAATAAGAAAAGTTGATAGCACAACTCTTTTATATTTCCAGTGAGTTTTCCCATGTCTTGCCTCATAGTGGCACAAAATTTAACTGATATAAAATTCTCTGAAGGAACGATAATGAAATTTTTGGAAAAATTCTTTTTTTTTTCAATTGTCATCATTTAACAGCTAATAAATAACAAAAACATTGAAAAAGTCATGCTTTTTTATCAATGTGGTTCAAAGGGACGACCTAAGCAGATATTTTTTCACAAAAATGAATTGATTATGTATACCTACTAATATGGTGTATCACCACACTTATATTGAAGAATGCAATAAAAATTTACAATTTAAACAAAATTTACTGGCTTTTGTTCACTATAACCTCTAATTCTTTTCATAATACACCATAAGATCATGTACTTATCCTGGTGCATCGCTCTGACTGTGTGTATTTGAAATATTTGGTTATAATTTATTCAACTACAGAGCCCAAACATTGTAAACGTACACCAGGCAGCTTTGTTTCGACCTGACTTAGGTCTCATCAGTAGTGCTAGGCCTAACCACAAATGTATTGCTGGACTCGACTGTCATTAAAGAACAATCCTGAGAAAACAAGAGCGACAACAACTTCCCTTAGAAAGACGAGGATCCCTAAGACGGTCAGCTGCAAAGCCGAACTTTGATGTTCACCATCGTCTAGTCTAGATTTGTCCTGTCTTTCAGCAGCAGCTTTCACTGTGCGGCAACTCATTGAAATTGTCTTATAATGTATACTTGTATAGAGCAAGCGGCACTAGAAGGTTTAAATTATGTGTTTCAGCAACTCGATGCAAAGTGACTTGAGAAAAAAACTTTTTGCAGCACCGAACCGAAAAATAATAAAAAAGGGTTATTCAAATATTCTCTCGTGGACATGAAAACAGTTAAAACCTTTAGAAGCTCAAAAAACTGTTATGCCCCACATTACAATGTGTAAAGTTTCCTTTTTCATGGGAAACCGTGTTTTCAAAATTACCGTGCTTAATTTTAAGTTTCACTGATTTTTAAATATAATTTTTGAATAAATGGTAATGTTATTTTTCATTTTGTGGCGCGATTATCTACTCATGAATCACTCATTAATCAGAAAACTTTTTTACATTTTTTTGAAATTCAATCCACAAATATCAAAAGTAAACAATGATCCGTTTTCAACAACTTGCCTTGCAGTGAAAGCTGCAGTGAGAGACAGAGGACGAATCTCGTTTGGTAATTGATGTAGAAGCTTGGCTTTACAACGAACTGCTTGGAAAGCCTAGTTCATTTTTGATGTTCACTTTCTCTAGCTTGTCTTCTCAGGACAATTGAGTCCAACAATGAAAGCGTTATTCATCCTAGCATCACTGATGAGACTTATTGGCGAATTGAAAGAGTACTGTCTGATGTTGGATCAATGATTTCTTTTCAAGATCGGGTTTCAACTAAAAAATAGTTTTGTTTAAAGGACACAAACAAAATTTTGGGTTTTCTTCAACTATATACTTTTCTCTGTTGATACTGATGTCAAATTTTTCACAACCATACATTCAGGACAAAAATTTCTTGTTTTGCTGCTGTTTATGTCAGATTTTCCTGCAGTGGTGGGATGTATCTCGAAACTGGTCTGTGGGTGATCTTGAATAATTTCACCAGTCCTGCTGCTGGATGAACAAGATACATCTGCAAGACTATAACCTCTGTTAGGCATCTTGCATATCGTCAGATATAATTCAATATCCAGCGTGGTATTAGCCGGGTAAGAGTTTACCAGATCCTCCTGTATAGGAACGTTGGGAGAGGTGAATGTATTGAGATTTCAGTTCGAAATATTCATTTTCCAATATTTAGTAAATCATTAATACAAACTGATACAAGATGACACATTCATTCGTGAAAACAGAAACAAGTTGTAGATGAAATAATTAACAGTAAAAGTTATTTAATTCATTTTTGATCTGAGATTGAGTTAAATCTAATGTTAATGTTAAGTTAATGAAGTGAAAACGTTGGCAGTGTTAGCTCTGATTGGTTTATTAGTTAGTGGGGGAGTGACTTTTCCTAAAAATTGTAAGATTCTCACTTTTGTGTTAGTTTATTATTTCCTTTATTTATATATTTTGGGACTCCGACTAGGATTGGTAAAAATTTTCAGTTCTATTCCCCAGAAACAAAGATGGAATCATTACAAAGGGTAGACAAATCCAAATGAGTGTTTTTATTCTACCCTACTCTGTAACCCGGCTCAATGGAATCATTCAGAACATTCCTCTTTTTTTTTTCAAAAAAAAAACTGGATTTGTAAATAGGGGAGACAAGGAAATGGTGTATTAGGAAACGATTTTTGCAGTGATCTTCGAATAGGAGACATTGTTATTATTCTTGTTTGTGTAATTGTTGACTTGTTTATTCTTAGGAGATTCTTGATCACTTTAATGAAAAGAACGAAAACACTTTTGTCTAATTTCCACGACCGGTTTCAGGTTTTATCCCATTATCAAAATAAAATAACTAACTAGTTAGTATAAAAACTAACTTGTGAGTTTTTATACCAACTAGTTACTTATTTTATTTTTTCGTTAAAATAAAATGACTAGTGGAAATTAGACAAAATTGTATCATACATTTCATTGAAGTTATTATTCTTGACATTTAGAAACTCTTTGTTTTGTTGGTTATTTGATAAGATGGTGAAGGTGTAAATCTAGGACATTCACGTATTATATACAAGTAATATTTCTGAGAGTGATTCATGCTCATTAACATTCCAAAACATTGAACAGGTTCAATTTTTCATTGAATATCTATGAATCAGTCATCACAAAAATATTTGTTGTGTGCTAATCAACTAGTCGAAATATACTAATAATGTAATATTTTGGTAATTGTGATTCATTAATGTTATCATTCAATAAAAAAATATTTTCACAGTTGTTTTGTATTCAATCAATAAATCCAGGTGGTATGTTCCTTAAGAGACAATATTGAAGAGCAACTTTCGTTTATCGAAAAGTTTGAAGTTTCGTTGCCAGTTTCAAAAAATGATTTTAGTCTATCTAGTGTCTCATTTTATATGAAGTGATTCATAAAATAACTCAAGAAGAACAAACCTCTTTGGCCTTCTTCCCTCCATTGATGTCTAAAATTTGGAAGAAAAACCCAAAGCATCTGATACATCTGTCTGAGTTTGATAGATAAGACAATTTTATTTAAATTATACTGCTTCCCCTGAAAACCCAAAGTGAAAAAAAATGTCTCATAAGAGTTCATGATTCAAGTATTGAAGGTATTCAGAAGTTCCAGGCAAGTCTAATTATCAACAGCTTTCTAGAGATCATCAACAATTCCAAGTAGGACAATGGTGGTGATGTGCTAGGTCTGAAACCTGATGGCATAGATGTTATGATTATATATTTATAATGATCATCATTGACAAAAATGTTATCTGATTTTTCAGAATCAATTTGTCTACTTTTTATACAATTGGTCTTAGGTTAGAAAGAGGTTTTTAGGTGAATTATACTTGCCAAAGAAATGTCCATCATCCTTCCCAAAATTAGCAAATGGACTGATAGCGATGTTGGAGTTTATGAGAAAACTAAAATATTTCCTAAAACGGCTCAACCGATTTTCATGAGTTTTTTTTTTGTATATTTAGTAGGTCATAAATTAAACTTCATGACACAAAAAAAAATTTGAAGATTCATTTTTTGTTATTTTTTTCATGGCTTCAGGAGTAGAGACACGCCTGAAGAAGCTCTTTTATAGTGAAAGAAGTGTTTTTGTAAAACACACAATAAAGTTTTTCTTGAATACGTTATGGATTTTCATCAAGTAATGACCGATTCCATCACAAATTGAATTTAGAATTTGGGTAAAGGGAATGGACCGACGACCTGTTTGGTCACCCGAGATTTGACCTGCCAATGCCACTGCGCCAGTGGTTTCTGTACATTTTTCACATACTGGCGTCATGTGTTCTTGATTGACAATTGTTCCTGAGAATGGTAGGTATTCTCAACTTTGTTTTATCATGGGTCAAAGAACCGTGTATTTCTTTTTGCGTGTTGGGTGTCAATTGAGATGACTGTATTTGCGTCCCATCTCGAGAACGGTTGGACTGTATCTGTCGGCGCTTGCATAACAGAAGGGTAGATTCATGCGGTGCCTGCAAGGGATAAGGCGCACACAGCTATGATAAAAATCAATGCTTAGAGAAGAGTACTTTTTAAATGTGAAGAGGGCATTAGTTCGACCACGACATTTGGCAGAGAAAGATTTGCAACTGCAATTTTGGAATGCTAAGAAATTAATAGATTTGAGAATTCAGAAAATTTAGTGTGAGTTTCAGAGTGTGTCTGCAGTTTCAGGTGTTATAATGGGATGAGGATGCAGCAAAATTTAATATATGCTTACTTATTAAACACACAGATTCCAGTATAAATAATGCAGTTACCATTAGAATATTATGTTTTTTGAAGAAGTCTCTTGTTTTAAGGTTTCCTATATACCTTATTGCCCTTTTCTGTAAAATTAGTAGACTTTTGAATAAGTTGAAGTTGGACTGCATGCTCCCCAAAACGGTATTCCATAGCGTAAGTGAGAATCTATGGGTGCAAAGTACGCCATCTTTGCAGTGCTGAACCCCAATTCTTTATAAATCACTCTAACCGCATAACAGCCAGAGGAAACTTTTCTAGTGAGTTGTTTAACATGATCCAGAAATTTTAAATTCTGGTCAATGAAGACTCCTAGAAATTTAGTGTTACTTTTAGATTCCAGTGATCTGTCTTCAAAAAAAAGTTCATTGATTGAGCATCTTAAATGATAATAATTTTGTTTATTATCATTTAGACGCTAAATCAACGAACTTATTTTGACAATCTTTATTGATGACTTCTGTTGACATATCATCCCCCATCATTCTTTCTGACGAGATTTGCCAATAAAATATGATTTGTTTGAAGGTAGTTGACAATGGTATTTCCCATCTCTACGGTTTTTAAAGGGATACATGATACATGCCATGTGAAGTAAACGACACACAACCACAGTTCCTTTCATTACCCCAGGAACCTATTTAAGGACTAGAACCTAAAATACAAAAATAAAACTCGATTTTTTCACTGCAAATTGATGCAATTGCATATGTGAAGGTGATTTTTAATGCTGATTAACTTTTTTCAATAAATACTTCTTGATATTTCCAAAGTAAAGGTACACTCTTGAGCAAAATTCATATTTTTTTCATCATGTATTTCATCAGTTCGGACTTCCATTGTCTAATATAATATAAATTGATTTGAAATCCCTGAAAAAAATAGGAGATTAACCGAAAATAACAATTTTATTGAAACAAAAAACTGAAATTACATGGAAATAACATAAAAGCTACAACCAGAAAATAAAAATTCTAAATATTAATGAACGTTTAAAATTAAAAAATATTAACAAAAATGAAAAATAAAAATTGAAAGATTCCAAACCAAGTTACGTCACGACGTTTCGATTTTTAGTATCCACAATCGGCTTCGGGTGATAACTGGACTTATTCCTCCGAGATCTGACTATTTATAGGTCATTTGGGTGCTTTCACCTTTCACCTATTCCCTCTTTCCACTTCATTGGTTTTAGCGGGAGATGACCGTTTGGCGGGAGTTGGTTGTTTTTCGCTTGATAAGAGGTTTCCATATGTTACGTATCTTTACGCTAGCTTGACTAAATGCGTTGTTGGACAACATATACGCCGCTTCCTTGAAAACTTCTCCTAAACCAGCATTCCTCTTTGTGGATGATTTCAGCTTGAGCCCACTTGATATTATGTTGATGAGTCCAAACATGCTCTGCTATTCCGGATTTGCTGGTTTCTTCTCGCTGTGTGTGTTTCTTGTGCTCAGCAATGCGAACTTTCAATGGTCTCTTAGTTTCACTGATGTATGGTTCTCCGTACTCGCAGGGTATCCGGTAAATGCAATTCTTGGAATCGCAGTCCGCGTTTGGTAGCCTGGTTTTTGTGAGGCTGCTACGGATAGTGTTCCCAGATCTGAAGCAGGTCCTGATGTTATACTTAGACCCAATTCTTCTTATCCTTTCCGATAATCCTCTGATGTAGAGGAGTACAAGTACTGGTTGTGGCGGCTTCTCTTCCTTGTGGAGCTTTTGCTGTCTTCTAGCTAAAGCCTGTTCTACCATCACTCTGGAATAACCATTCCGTTGAAGGTCATTTCTGATGATGCCTATTTCTTTTTCGAGACGTAATGGAGAAGGAAGTCCACAACTCGAAAGCACGGTCTAGTAGAGTCTTGATGATTCCTCTCTTAGTCGATTGATGGTGGTTGGATTTCCGGTTCAGATACTGTCCTGTGTGAATGGGTTTTCGATATACAGATGTTTCCAATTTAGTGTCGGTCCTCTTCACCAATACGTCTAAGAAAGAATTCGTTGTGGACTTCCTTCTCCATTATGTCTCGAAAAAGAAATAGGCATCATCAAAAATGACCTTCAACGGAATGATTACTCCAGAGTGATGGTAGAACAGGCTTTCGCTATAAGACAGCAAGAGCTCCACAACCAGTACTTGTACTCCTCTACATCAGAGGATTATCGGAAAGGATAAGAAGGATTGGGTCCAAGTATAACATCAAGACGTCGTGACGTAACTTGGTTTGGAATCTTTTTTTATTTTTCATTTTTGTTAATATTTTTTTAATTTTCAGCTTTTATTAATATTTCAATTTTTTATTTTCTGGTTGTAGCTTGTATATTATTTCCTTATAATTTCAGTTTTTTGTTTTAATAAAATTGTTATTTTCGGTTAATTTTTTATTTTTATTTTTCAGGGATTTCATATCAATTTATATTATATTAGACAATGGAAGTCTGAACTGATGAAATACATGATGAAAAAAATGAATTTTGCTCAAGAGTGTACCTTTACTTTGGAAATATCAAGAAGTATTTATTGAAAAAAGTTAATCAGCATTAAAAATCACCTTCACATATGCAGTTGCATCAATTTGCAGTGAAAAAATCGAGTTTTATTTTTGTATTTTAGGTTCTAGTCCTTGTAGAACTTTTTAAATGGGTTCCTGGGGTAATGAAAGGAACTGTGGTTGTGAGTTCGTATACTTCACATGGCATGTATCGTGTATCCCCTCAAAAACCGTAGAGATTGGAAATACCGCTTCTTTATAGGAGCGTTTCAGCAGTAAACGCGACTGGTAAATACCGCAATGAATAACTTACAGCGAAACTGTACGAAAAAGAACGACCATACTGAATGTGAACATATGTGAATAGATATATAGGTAGTAATTGCAACACAACAAGAAATACATCTATCAAATTTCTAGTAGACCCAAAAGTATCAAATAGTAAAATGTGTATTTGTGATAACGTAAAAAGATTTATACTAGAGACTAAGGAAATCCACCTGGCTTTAAGAACGGTAAAAATTAACGATGAAACAATACCATCAGGGCAAGATGGTGATAGGGAGGGCTGTGAGGATATCAATAGAAGTATTGCAGTATGCAACAAAGATATTGATGTGATAAATTAAGAGGAAGCCAATGAAATTAACGTAAGGAATCCCCATACAACTTTTTAAAATTAGGAAAGCGGAAACTCGACTTGAGATAATGCATGTTAATATACAATGTCTCAAAAATAAGCTGAACTCACTTAAACCAATTGTACTGCAACATCATTTTGGCATTCTACTATTAAGTGAGCATTGGCCGAGTAGTGATGAAACACTTTTTTGTAAAATGGAAAATTGTATATTAACTAGTTCCTTTTTGAGATCCATATACACTCACGGAGGGGTTCTCAGTTCAAAAGTTTCTGTATTTTTATATTATTGGATGTGACCAGACATTCACGACACGTAAACAGTACAGTATACAGAGGCGACTCGACGCGTCTATTCTTGAATACAGCGACGGCAAGGTATCATAAAAATTGCGGTCTACATTTGGATAATTGTCATCTAGACACTAATACACTAGTCCTTCTTATGAGAAGGTCATCTTGCTGAAATGTAACATCAGTTGGATCAGTCAATTATCCAAACCAGTGCATGTGTGCTGTCCCGAAGAAGGCAATAAATGTTACTTAAAGCTCATTAAATATCAAAGAGCTTTCCTGAATGGCCCTTTATTACTAACTTTACTACAGAGTCACAAAAGGGAAACTTAAACAAAAATTAGTTAAGGCTTTTCGATAGATAGATAGTCAAAGCTGATAGAACATTGTGTTGACCCGTTTTTCATAAATCCAAATTGGTTTTTACAAAAAAGTTTGGCAATTTTTTTTTCATTTTTATATATGACAAATTTTGCTAAACTGGATGTTAAAGTGATAGGCCTCCAATTAATCGTATCCGTTTTGATGCCACCTTTATGTATAGATCTAAGGTTACCTACTTTAAATACTTTTGGAGATATTCCAGAGGAAAAAAATAACATTCATTTATTGAGGTGAAGGTTTTAATATATCTCTCAAAGTTTTCAATATTTCAGATAAACCAAATTTAATGATTCATGGAATCAACAAATGAAACAGCGGCATGTTAAGAAATAATCTATTTCTATAACCAGGTAGTGAACAATGTCTTTCAAGTACAACCTGTTAAAATAATACATAACGTCAAAAATATAAATCTTTAATTGACTGAACAAGATAGAACCAGTACAGTACAAGAAAAGTATAATAATGAACAGAGCTCTGAATGCAGCAGAGATCAAGTGATAAATATGGGCTATTTATAGATGTTAGACTCAAAAAATCTCCCTGTATGTGCTAAAAAGCACAAGCAGGGAAAAACCACAAAACAAAAATGTTTTAATCGATCACCGTGATTTCTTCCTTGATAAAGAACTCGACAACTTCCTCCTCAACATTTTCTTTATGAGCATTTAGCTCGTCTGTGTCTATATCTGAAAAGGAAAAACGAAGATGAGAAAATGTATCATTTCTGACCTAAAACTATACTAGTATGCATGAAAATGAAGCTGTCTCTATAAGAATTCTTGGAAAATTTAAAATGTAGTTTTCCCAAACACCTCTTATAGTATTTCATATATCCTGAGTGACTAACTGTTGTGAAAATTGCAACCCAACAGCAATAATTCAGGAAAAATTAATTTAATATTTAACCCTTTCATACTTTCGTTTCACGAAACGAACTTTTTACAAAGTATGTTATTCGACTGTATACTATAAAATACTCACTATTTCTAAGTGCCAACCGCCTGGGCTTATTCTCAATATATTCCGCAATCCTCGCTTTTCTGTATTCGTTGAACTTTTCTATCAAAGCAGCCCTCTTCTCAAGCAATTCCTTAGAGGCTTTCGACATTCTCATCCTATCCTTACTCTCGAACTGTGGATAGTATTTTTTAAGATTTTTCTTGATTTCCTTTTGTTTTTCTTCAGACAGTAGCGTCTGTGGCCTGGGTCTCCATAAAACTTGAGCAAATTTTTCCAAATTATAACGTTTCAGAATTTTTCCTTGGAATGACCAAATCCAGTAGCCTGGAAAAATGATAAATGGTAAGTATTAGGGGTTTCTATAAACATCATCTTCAACGTGATCAAACATCTGGAAATGATATTCCATTGGTCAGAATATTTATCAGATTATGCTCGAGAGTGGTATTCATAAACTTACTCCAACTGAAGGAGCAGGGTAAAGTGATACATAGATGTGTAGATCATGCAAAGAAGTAACTTTCAAACACAAACTGGGAGAAGAAGCGTTCCTGAAACAGCTACTTTCATATAACCATTGAATTATACGAAAGAAAAATTCTTTCTAAACAAATACTTTTACATGAACACTGAATTATACAGAAAATACTTTTCTCTACTCAGTTTGTATTCCAAACATTCGTTATGGAATTAAATCAGATATCATTCACAGGATGTCTACACAATATACTAAATGAAACGTAAAAATTTCACTTATATGACATAGTTTCACATATAGTCAGTGGGCATACTTGAAGACTGGCTATAAATCAAATTATCTAAGAACAATTTGGTCAGGCCAGTCCCAACTCCCTACACAGTAGGTTAATGGACTGACACCTATCAGAAAACAACTACTCCCCTGGCTAATACCACGAAGGGCGTTGGATTATATCCGACAGCTGTCAGTGCAGGATTCTTCATATGACATAGGTAAATCAAACTTATTTCGTGATATGAAAAATCGTTATTTATGAATGAATTGTGGCTTTTTTCTTATGTTATCCAGATTGCTACTGAAGATACCTAAGACAAGCGTCTTACGGCGAAACATCAATGCCTACCAGTGAGCATGACAGACTTTGGACATGAATATTCTTTTACAAAATGCTTTTTACACATTCTATTTCAATTATTTCAACTCATCAACCAATTTGTTGGCTGTCTGATTTTATACAGAAAATACTTTTCTCTACTCAGTTTGTATTCCAAACATTCGTTATGGAATTAAATCAGATATCATTCACAGGATTTCTACACAATATACTGAATGAAACGTAAAAATTTCACTTATATGACATAGTTTCACATATAGTCAGTAGGAATACTTGAAGACTGGCTATAAATCAAATTATCTAAGAACAATTCGTTCAGGCCAGTCCCAACTCCCTACACAGTAGGTTAATGGACTGACACCTATCAGAAACTACTCCCCTGGCTAGTACCAGGAAGGGCGTTGGATTATATCCGACAGGTGTCAGTGCAGTATTCTTCATATGACATAGGTAGATCAAACTTATTCCGTGATATGAAAAATCGTTACTTATGAATGAATTGTGGCTTTTTTCTTATGTTATCCAGATTGCTACTGAAGATACCTAAGACAAGCGTCTTACGGCGAAACATCAATGCCTATCAGTGAGCATGACAGACTTTGGACATGAATATAAACACTTTTGAAGTGAAAATTAAGAATATTCTTTTACAAAATGCTTTTTACACATTCTATTTCAATTATTTCAACTCATCAACCAATTTGTTGGCTGTCTGATGATAAATATATTTTTGTATAATATTTATTTATTCTACAAAGGTCTTTGTTTCTTGAGATACAAACAGTTGTAACGTAATACTGTATTGTATAACATTGATTTTAATTTATACTCTCATTTATCTCATAAACAAAAAGTGTAGTCATTGCAATCTGTTTTTGATTTGAAAGGGTATGACTTGAACTTGAGTAAAGAATTGTTTTTGAGTGTATAAATACACCTCAGCAATTTGGGTTTCAAGGATCACAGAATACTATTGCAGCAGCTACATTATATGAGAATAGCCTGGAATGTAGGTAAACATTTCATGAAAATCAATATACGTTCGAGCACAAAGGATGTGAAAACAGGAGTACCTCAAAGTTTAATCCTGATCCCCATACTATTCCTACTGTAAGTACATGTTCCAGCTACTTCATTTTTGGTGTTTTCATTATTTTTGTGTTTTTGTATTTTTGTGTTTTGTGTATGTTTTCATACACTTTTGTGTAAGTGGATGTAACTTTTTTCATCATTAAACCAATCTACAATTTCTTACAGGTGAACACAAATGCTTATCAGACTACTCAGTTATGGATTTACAAACTAGTATACTTCCTGAGACTTTATAAAAAATATATTACAATCATCATACTGCCAAATACTTTTCCACAAAATAAAATGCATTATCAACAAGAAATGCAAATAGTTTACTTTTTAATCGGTTTAAATTATTTTAGTTGGAAAATAATTCCAGATATTTATTAAATCATTATATTTGTTGATATCTTTGAATCATCCTTGAAAATGGTTGATATATTATCTTATTTCTAGTTTTATGGTAATGGATATTGAAATAATTTTACAGAAAAGCATATGCAATGTCATAATGCCATGACAATAAATATATTAAGACAGAGAAACACAAAACTATAGTTCAGGTTGAAGTTGTTGAAAATCTTTACACTCTTACCTGTATCAACTTTGGTCTTCCAATATGAAACCCCTGTTATAACATATCTTCCAGTCGGATCCCATTCTACATCAGACATTTGGAAGTGGTCGGTGGTATTCATGACCAAAAATTCGTTAGTATCAACAAATTCCAATGAACCACCTCCATTCGATCCCAATCCTGCGAGAACAATGAACTGACCGCCAGGTGACCAGAACAAATGGTTGCAAGCCCTCTTTTCAAACTTCTTCAATAGAATGGGGGCCTGCCCTATTCTGACTTCATAAAAACTAACATTGATGTTGGGCGTTTCGCCGTGAATCATGGCAAACTTCAAACCAATGGGCTCCCACGCAAAGGCTTGAATTGGCTCTTTGCATTCAACACTATCGACAGGTATTTGTTTTTCCCTCATGTGGAATATCTCAAAATTGCAGTACATTCCGGAGTATTTCAACTCCGATTTCTCTTTACGAAACTTGGTGTACCTGAAGATTTAATGAAAATATGTGTTGATTAATGACAAATAAATCTAATGAAACAATTGTGTAAAAGTCTTGAAACACTTCAAGAGATTTCAATAGACTCACTAATGAACAACATCTTTATAAATACCTGTCTACTTTGACACAAAGGTAATCTCCGGACTTCTGCCAGTGTATTTTGCAATCGGCAACATTGAACAGGTTCTTTTTTCTTATTTCGTTCCTGTTAGGTAACTCCAATAATGTTACGCTGGCTGGCACATCCTTGTCTTCAGCAACCCAGTACGCGATGATGTTGTCAGTTGGGGACCAATTGAAATCCTTTATTCCATTTATCTTGATGGATTTTTTGTCTAACAAGCCAAACGAAGGTGTCTCGTATACTTGTAAAGAATCATTCTTTTGTCCTATCCTAGCAAAATACTTGTCGTCATGAGACCACCGGAAAATGGGCCATGTAGAGGTTCCTTCTGGGTTGAAAGAACGTTTTTCAAGGCCAGTTCTGGAAAAAATGTATTTATTATTGTCAACAAAACTGTTATTTTATGTAATTGTCCAATAAATGAATCTTATGAAACAATCAATGGATCCCACAATGAACTAGTGGAGTGCCAACAAAATGAGCTTTCGTTTTCATGCCTAAGAAAACATTGGGCCTCTCAGATGTTTGTAAATTTAGTCATTAGACTTTATCTACCAATGTTCTATCGAGTAACTGCCATGTAGCTTTGTGTAAATAAGTTATTGAAATCAACATGATATGGCTATCAATGTTCATTACGTAGTATTATATATTTACATTTACTCAATATTCATATATTCAATATTTGGATCTGTTCAGCTGGGCTTAATATCGTTCTGTCCATATACACTGATCATGTCTCTAAGCATTATTTTATAGTTTGTATTTGTTAATTTATTTTCCCTTATACATTTTTACTTTACTAGACTTTTCCAATAAGATGTTCAGATCTTGGATAATAAAGCATATTTTGATTTGATAACACAGTTCTTGAACAATTATATGCTTGAATATTTCGCAAAAAAAGGAGTTTCCTTGAAACTGATAAACTTTTACATAACAAATAGAATAGAAAGATAATTACGGCTGCTCCTCATTTAAAATTATTAGGAACCACAATAGATCCGAGACTGGATTAGAAAAAAATCTGTTGACCAAATAGCACAAAATATAGCAGGCTACTGCTATGCACTCAAGGTATTGGATCAGTCAATAAACATAGAGGCTGCTGCATTAACTGCGTATCATGCATATGTCCAATCTCGTGTTAGATATGGATTTATGTTTTGGGCAAATACTACAGACGACCACATGATTTTTGTAATCTAAGAAATATGATTGAGGCGCAAACTGAGTTTGAAACAAACCGATAGCTTCAAAAATTTATTTCTAAAGGAATATTTTGAAGATAGTCTTCTATAAATGTAGTATTTTCAATATATATGTGATTATTTTATAAAAAGTTATGTATCATAGGTAAAAACACCTTTTAATGTGTAATCTCAGTTAATAAGCTATTAGATTTCTCCTTTTGGGTTTTCTCTTCTCTTCTTTCATTTTTAATCTGTTTATATTATTGACATACACCCGCTTGGATATTATGTATTGTACACTTGAATGAATAAAGAGTGTCTATCTATCTATATTTTTATGAATTTTGAAGGTCCTCAAAAATTGTTATTTGAAATAAATACAAAATTCAAGATAGGACAGGAAGCAATTCAGGTAAATTATGTCAATCAAAATATCTGTACACTTACCTGATGTCCCAAATAATAATTTTTTTCATCTCAGGATTGTGAGGATCCCCCTGAGGAGAAAATGTTACCAAGTACTTCTCACAAGGTGAAAAGTCAATCCACTGTACATTGGGATGTGCAAACTTTTTGTATTGGGAGAAATTAGGTCCAGCCCAAAGTGCAATACCCAACTTATGGAAAGTGGACAAGAAAGTGCCCAATGGAGACCACTTGATATGAGTCTGGGACCAGCTCTGAAATGAAGAATACACATCATAGGTAAAAACATATGACTCAAGAACGTGTAATATTTTATAAGTTTATAATCATAACTATATTTTCTTTCTTCGGAAGGTTTTATATTCGAAAGTAGTTCCAACTGACGCATTATGACTTATTTCTGATAAGAGAACAAAAAAGTCACAAGGAAAAAGTTATGAAATTTCATGTGAATCAGAATAACCAAAATAATCATCTTGAAATAATATAATCAGGTCACGAAATTTGGCTACTGCCTCATTCATTCCCCCTCACTACATAGTAAGTTGGCGATGTGGTAGTAATGCTTTATACAAATTTTTATTTTCAAAAAAAATCAACTTTCCCTTCAAAAAAAAAACAAAATTGCACCCAGGTTACCTGAATATAGAGAAATTCCATTTTTTTAACAGGAGTACAGTACCCTTTGGGAAAAACTTTTGGCATTCTACTTTGCCGTCATCAAACAAAAAATGAGAGAAACTTCCAAAGGAAATAACTACGATAAAAACTTTATATACAGATTTGTAGAGCATACACAGAAGTTTCTTTCAGTTACAAACTGTTTTGTTACTCATGTTGGCTTTTAGGTATTAATGTAATTGTATTTTAGGTATTGATGTACCAGTAATTTATGCAAATTCAACACTCCAACAATAATGACATTTCAAAACAAAGAATTATAAAAGTTGAAGAAGCTCGGGAGAAGTGCAGAAAAATTATGATTATCTTGGAGCCCAACTAGAAAAATGAGTCCGTCGTGGTGAAGCAGTTCTACATGATTTTTTTCTATTTTCATGAATTATGCCTTAAATTAAAACCATGCATTTGTTTCAATTCATTAAATTTTGTTAAATGTCAAATTAAAGCAACAAAGTTATTGCTATCTTTAATTGATTGAATATTTTGGGAGTTATAATGATTTGAAACAATTTTCTTGTTTCGAAACAAATTGCTAACAAACTTTAAAATAAGGGTATATACTTTTTATCAACCTTTTTTGAGTATTTTCACCTTCCACAATATGAAAAATTTATAAATTATAATGGAGAACTTCATACAGGTGTAGAGGGGAAAACTTTTTAGCTTCCCACGATAAGTTACTACATAAAATCAAAGTATTTTTCACAAAGAAAAACTTTCTTTTTATTAGTAACTTGTATTCAATAATTTTGCTTATCAAAAGAATAGCCAAGAAATAATACAATACTTATCTTGACGATTCGGAAGCCAAAATCTGCCTCAGTCTTCAGAAATAAACAAAATTCAAATATATATGCAGTTATTCCTTAGCTGATTGCCAATTTTTATTTCTCAACTTCTTCAACAGATGTGAAAGGTGAAAAATACCCAAAATAGGTCAATAAAATGATTTTCCTCCACAAAAAATTACTTTCCTTCAATAAGGGTACATACTTTTCAAGTTTTCACAGACTGTTTATTTTACATGAACAGTCATATTTTCGGCAAGCAAACATTTTTATTACAAATGATTTTTCTTCATAAATTTCAATTAATTTCTCCTCTTGTCTACCACATCGCAGAATGTACAATATATCAATAGTTTAGACTACTTACGTTTCTATTTTCAATGATCGTCGGTTCTGGCTGACTATTCTGCCAAATCTGGACATTTTGTCCGGATGCAGTAACAACACCAAACTGATCATATGCATCAGGCTCCAACAAATAGTAATGCAGATCAGCTTGACCTTGATAAGGCTGAGGCTCTGGCGGTTCCCATTTGTTGGGAATTTGCTCATACTTGGCAAAATCGGTAAACAAGTTCACTTGGAAAGTGTGCTGCTTGTCGAGTTTGAAATTATTGCTCAGTTTTACGGCTTCTGCAGCGTGAACAGGCGAAGAATATTCAATGAATATGTAACCCTTAGTATGTCCCTCTGCGTTTACTGGATAGAACTCGTTCACTATGTTACCAAACTTTGCAAAAATTTTGTTAATGACAGTTTTCAATTTTTCGATACGATTAGGTCCAACTTGGGGCACACCATCAACAACGATCACACTCTCAACTCCATCTGTTTCCTTTGGTTTCTGCTTCAGAATATCTCCGACCAATTCTAGAATGAAATATAACCTCAAACATATGGTAACACTCAGTATAGTTTTTTTTTAAATATTCATTTCTCACTAGAAAAAAAACTTCAACGACTTCTAGAGGCTTCATACTTATACTTAATTAACATCAACTCTCAGATTAAAAAGATATAAAATAACGTGGTGAAAACAGTTGTTAATAGTGAATACCTTCGTCTGAAATATCGTCAACATATCCCTCCGGATCACTGAAATTTGGTTCATCCTCATTTGAAGAGAACTCATTCTCATTCTTTGAATTTTCATCATTTTGACTATTTCTTTCATCGGATTTTTTTCTCGCCATTTTGACACGCTCTAGCCCACAGGTTCAAAAGACAATTTGGGAAGCGGATGTCAAATAAAAGTATTAGACAGCTTTTTTCACAGAATCCACACTTCTTTGACCAAGAAACTAGAAATTATGACAAGCATGTACCACAGTATTCTTTTATATTTCCATTTGTAGGCCGCAGCAACCAGGGCTATCCGGCCAGTTTGTAACGAATGTAATTTGTAAAACTATACTAAAACCAATAATGATTGAGAGTAGAAGTAAGCCCAGTTGACAGCAAATCGGGGGCGTGCTTATTAATTTTTAGAGGGTTATGGTGACTGTTTTTGACTGTTAGAAATATTGAATTGTAAAGGCTAATTATTTGTAAAATGCTATTCCCATTTCTTGAATAATCTCATCAGTGAAACCCCAAATTTAGTAGGTACAGGGGTCATAAAACATAAGGTCTACATTTTTTTTCAATTGCTAGCTCTAACCAGTGGCTTGGCATCGTTATAAACAACTTATTTTTGCACATATCTCGAAATGTCGGAATCAATCTTTTTTACAGAGAAATTTTGAGTTTTATTATCCAACTACTTTTTTTATCATTNAGTTTCCAGCAAATTTTTTACTCCATATATTTTCCGAATTTAAATGGATAACATTATTACACGTTTGGCATTACTGGCATTTGGTCTGAAATGACTTATGCGCATGTGCCATGCCTAGTCTTGCGCAGTACATTTTGGGTACTATTTTCTTGTAAATTTCGGTACTTTTTGAATTGACGTTGCGGCAGCACTGTGGGTCAAAGTAGACGTTGAAATATTTCGAGGCAATGCAAATATGGCATTTGGAGCTTAAAGAAGGCGACAATAAATGTAAGAATAGGATGAATTTAGAGTATAATTTAGGTGTGCAGACATGACGTTTTCAAAGTCTACAGTGCAATATGTGATAGGAAATCATGTACCTCGAATGACTTGAATTCTTCATCTGAATTACGATGAATCACATTCTCATAATCAATAATACGTGGCCTAAGTTATCGGTTTTCACGATTATAAAGTAAAGTTGAATTCCATTTTTCATCTGAACCTAGAGTAATTAGTTTCTGGAACACTATTGCGACGTATCAACAAATATTAATCTCGTCATTTGTAATGTTCACATGAACACCCAAAACGCTCCATAATCCATTCCATTTGAGTTTACGACAGTAGCGCTCGCAAACAATGAAACCGGAAAAACCGGTCGGGAACGTGATCTTTGGAACACACTACTTGTGTGATCGAGATCAAGACTCATGACGTCATGAATTTGGCGATAACTTGATTGAGAAAATCTCATAGTAATAATAATAAGACAACTCTGAGGAGAAAATTAAATGGTAGAAGAAAAAAGTTTTTTGTTATCACCCATTTGAATCTGGTACGTGATAAAATTTATATATTATTATTTAGATTGAAACAGTATCGTATATGGCATTAAAAAAAAATCATATTTCATTTTTCTGGGATTCACAGACATTACTTGGTGTCTTTTATCAATTAAGTAAATTAAGTTTCGTAAATGTATAATATTAATTTGATTAATGATTTCTATGGGTGGATGCATGCACACACACATATACAGTTTCATCATTAATTTTTAGTGACAACATTCATGATAAGATCATCAGGGCCAGATTGGGCCTTAATGAGGCCCTAAACTAGTTAGATAGGGGGCTCTTTTATAAGTCCAGATATTGTGTAAATGCCAAATATGATTTTCGAAACCAGAGGGTTGAACTAAGGTACAATTAAGAAGTATAGGAATAGTGAAATAATAAATCTTCAACATGAAATCATTTTTATTCATAACAAACTCAAAAATGCAAAGGCAAGTAAAGATCAATTTTTAAAAGCACATTATCTGATATTGAAACAAGTTATAATTATTAAAGAATTATATTAAACTGAAATAACAAAATATTATAATTTATTTTGAGAAACTACAATACAATGGAATGATCCAAAACATTTTGTAAGAAGGGACAATTTACTTTGATAATGTCAGGCAAACTCAATTTCAACTATCTATTGAAAACCACATACACCAAACATTCCAACCAAAGTACTACTACCTTTGATAAGTATTTTTATAAATAATAATAATAATGAATGTCATTTATTGGTGATTCCCAAGGGGCCATAGATCGAAGTCCTTCAGCCCGTGTACAATTTTTAAATATTTGCAGTGATTTTTACATATGCTTACATAATAGATTTGAGGTAAGTACATTATATTTCTGACAAAAAAATATAAATGATGAGAGTGGTTTGATGTTTTCCCAAATAGTTTTCTGTATCATGTATTTATTCATCCTAGTGGGCCCTGCCCACTACAAGGATATATAACATTTATTCATTCTGGCAATTGTTTTGGGAGCCACTATAATAAATATGCGCATGAGTTGTAACTTTTTATTAGTAACAAATGGAAAACATCAATTCTTATGACTTGAAACTTACAACTTAAAACAACATACAACTTGAAGTGTAGTATCTGTGACTATTCCTATGAAATGTATGTTGTCAATTATGGGAAATAAATGATCGATTGATTGAAGACTGCTGCATGAATGCAACCTATGATGACACTTTTTCATTTATTTCCTTCAGGAATTTTGCAATATTTTCGGTTTTTACCATTGGCTTCTGATGCACTGTTTGGATTCTTTGGTATAGTAATGAATAAATATTACTGGAGTTTTATCCCAACATGACCAATCCATTATTTCAATTCCTCGGCACGTGTTTCGATTAAACTAAATATACATACAATGTTATCCTTATTTATACCATATATACCTCTGCCAGGTACCTGCGTCTTAATTGTCTTGAATTAATTTTACAATGTTGCCTTATCTACTAGTCTTAAATTATTTTACAATGTGGCCTTATGTAATAATCAGGTAATTCTTCCTCTTGAAGATGGTCACTTGGTGATCGAAACATGTGTTGAGGTGTTAAAATAACGATTTGGTTTTGGGATCATTAGCTTGTTGAATCAAACATATTTCTTATTTGTAGATCTTTAAGGATACACCCTATACAAGATGAATTTACCTGTCTTGCTAATGGTGGTAACCAGTAATTATCAATATGATGATCACTCTATTGCTGTGGTAGGCAAAAGAAGCTCCTTCATTTTAGAAAATAATTCAGGGTGGATCCCAGCACCTCAAGAAAACTATGAAGTTCAAAATATTGGGAGAGTTGATGTTACCGCTCAGTTGTGGTATGGAGATGAAGCGTTTGCTTGGTGGGGAATAGTAACAGAAACTACATTAAAACCAGGGGAAGTAAAAATATTGGATAACGGTGGAAAAATATATTACTACACTGGATTGTTCATAATAAATAATAACAGCACTAGAGCCATTGTTCATGCTACTGGCGGCGAATTGTACAATCCTTGTGTTCCTCCAAAAATTAACTATATGCTGTGGCTCAGACGAATAGCCTATTTTGCACTGAAGAGAATCCCTTATGGGAAAAATTTTTCAAAACTTCTCAACCTTTTCTGGCCACATAAACAACCGAATGTTTGGCAAAACGTAACCCAAAATATATCGCCGTTATTAGAAAAGCAGGAACTTCAAATCATACAGAGTATTCTTGGAAATGAGGTTCTTTACTACAAAGATCAAATCGCCAGTCTTCAGGACGAGTTGAAGGATAATAATAAAACTAGGGAACATTACATGAACATTGCATATTCATTAGTTGGTTTTGAGCTTAAATTTGTGATGCCTAATACTTTTGAGGACCACAATACTGTTAACTTCTATATCTTGCCCCTTTATACCAATGCAGTTTCAATGAAGATGCATTTTTATACAATAGGTATTCAGCAAAAAGATCAGATTGGCTTAATGGATGATGATGTCTCAAACATCCAGAAATATATGAACAGAACTGTTGCACATTCTTCCGAATACATTAACTCTATGCTCAAGTGGCCAGTTGATAATGCTTATAACACGTCTACAGCAGAAGGTATTTTTGACAATATGATGACAGTTAGAAGTCACCTGGCTTTACATGGAGAGGAATATCTACCTTTCTGGAACCACATGATGAATAATCCATTAGCAAATGACACAGATGTTTACAATCATGTGATTTCTTATTCTGACTTTTTTGGTAGAGCCACCGCAAATCTCTATGCACAAGCTACCCCTGAGGAAGTTCCGGAGCCTTTAAATCCAAGACTCATTAAAGGAAAGAGGAATAAACTAATCAACATAAGAGTGTACCTTTGGGATCTCGAGATGACTGCAGTATCGGGAATGAGACTTGAGTTTTCAAGCCAAGATATTTACCAACTAGGTACAGTCACTGAGAAGTTTGCCGAGTTTGATTTGCGGGATACCTACATTGAGAAACTGATAGCGTTTGGTGAAGGGGAGATAGATGGTTTAAAGTTCTTTTTGGAAGATGGACGTACATTTATGTTTGGAACTGTTACATCTAAAACATTCAAAACTTTTGAGATGCCAAATCATCATATAGTTTCCTTATATATGTCGAGTGACTATAAGACTCTTCACAATAAAGCTGCAAATATAGCTGTTTCTTATCTGTGGAAAAACTAGTAATTTATAAATTGCTCATATAATATAATATGGTAAAGCTGTGGCTACTTGCACTGTGGTAAAATGTAATAAAATTTTTTTTTGTTAGTTTTGAAAAATATGTACAGTGGAAATGTTTTCAGTAATGTAACTTTAATAGAACTCCTGCTGAAAGTTGAAAAAAATAGTCATAAGAATAATAGAAATAAGGCATCGAGATGTACAAAGTGACACCAGAAGATGATTGTGTGTGGATACAACTCCTTACTCAATGTATCGCCACTTTTGACAATATATTTTTGTGATATATATATAGTAAATGTTTTAACTAACAGTAGCTAGTCACAATAGGCATGTTTTGGTTTTGAGTTTACTGATACGGATCATCCCACATCAATATGTCAGTTGTGGACTGATACGATTTTAGCTTAACTAGATTCAGCATTCAGTCAGGTGACTGTTTTTGACTGTTGGACATAATTCGGTTTTGTGATGCACTGTTTGGAACCTTTAGTGTAGTAATGAATATTACTGGAATTTTAACACCTCGACACGTGTTTCGATCACCAAGTGATCATCTTCAAGATAAAGATCAAACTATTTCCTCTTGAAGATGATCAAGCACTACAAAATTACATACACTTCTTTTTTTTTTAAAGACACGTTTATTGGTCTCATACCCGTCCTAATTTTTAGTTGTAACATTTTCTACTTTCCAATATTTTGTCTGACTTCGTGCTTCTTTTTCACCAGAAAGACCAGTTAAACAAAAAAGTAATATAACAACTAACCAAGATACTTACATTTGACTAAAAACAACACTTCTAATTTGCACCTGTATTAATTAATCTACAATAAGCATTATAATCTTTAAAGTTCACAATCTTATTTACCTGAAGAGGATTATCACTGAAAGGATCCTTTTGCATATTCAGGTAAAAATTGTATTATACATATTAGTGTTTGAAATGGAATATTTTTTCCAAAAAGTCTTTTAATGATTATATTGATTTTTAATTTAAAAATAATGCATGATTGATACATAAAGTTTTAAATTGATCTTTGATATTTATTAATACATTTAAAAATAATTTAATTTTGTATTACATGAGTAATGGTTAAATTGTGATCAGAAAATAAAAACCACCTTTCAGAGATTAATTAATATATATAAGATTATACCAGCCATACGATTAAGAGTTGGTCAAGACTCCCATGTATATCAAGGTATTAAATGTTATAACAAACTCATGGCTATTCATCCTGAGTTAAGTTTAATGAATAGGAATGAACTAAAATGTTGGTTGAATGAATTCTTAAAAAACAAGGTGTTCTACTCTCTTCAAGAATTTTTAAATTGTTTATGTTCATTGTATATTTTAATATTTTACTTATCAAAAATGTATATGTATAATCTTGTAAATTTTAATTACTTTTATGCTCTCTTTGTGACTAGTCCAATAAGTTTCATGTATTTTCACTTTTTTTTATGTTGTACATGTGAACTTTAGTGATAATAAACTTCTATTCTATATATACAGGCTGAATTCGTATAAATTTCTTGAGGTTCATTGGCGGTAGATTCGGATACATTTCATTGAACTTTCTATACCCTTCTTCAAGCAGAGAAATAAATCGATGAGTTCTCTTTTAACAGACACGACCTCATTGCTGATATAATCATCCATAAAAAAAAACATATTTTTATTGATCTAAACTACCGCATTGTAACACCAATGTTGATTGTTGCTATTCATACATGACAAATTTGTTTGTGGGTCAGTAGTAAGTGAAGTCTAGTCCACGAAAGATGGTGTGAAGCGCTATAATGAAGGACTTTCTTGAAAAAGGCATTAAAACCCATAAATCGTACATGGCTAGGTCAGATTAAAAAAAAACGTGGGAAGCTGAGAAAAGTGAGGCAAGAATGAAGATGTAAGGAACAGTGAGAGAAACCATGCAAAAAGAAAAAACTATTAATAGCAGATGATGAATAGTAATTTGAGCACAAATAAAACACCGATTGACAAGGCAAATAAAAATTCTTTAAAGAATACTATGTATAACTAGAAGGAGCAGAAGACTATTTAGAATGGTTATTAAATTCAGATTATTAAAAAAAATATCTAAATTGTGTCAGAGTCTTTTCCAAACAGGTCCCAATTTTCCTACTTTTAATTAGAAGAAATTGAATACGAGACCCCTCACAATGACATAATATGCTTAGTAAAGAGGATATAAGATATTACATATCCAGATGATTCAATGAAATAGTGGAATGTTTCGACATTTAATGTCCCCAAGTTCATAAGTAATATATAACACTCTGTTTAGAAATACTAAAGTTAAATGTAACAGATATGTAGTGTGCCCCAAAATTTAAATATGTATTCAGATGAACTATTTTATTCAATATTTTTTATAAATTAGATCTAATTTATCTACAATGATAAAGTATGTCATATCAATCACTTCTCAATATATCAATTATATAAAAGTATGATAAAATTAAATGTGTTCAGCAATCAGTGCTTTGTTTTTATGGCAATACCTAAATAAATAATTTCCGAACATTATAACCGTTCTAATTCCGGTGGTATATGAATTTTGTTCCTTATAGCAAACTGTTTCAGTGCTTCATAACGGCCTTTTATCTCCATCATTTCTTCTCTCATACTGTGAACCTCTTCTTGCATAATTTCCATGTCCCTCCACTCTTGTGTCTTCTCTGTTTCAAGCTCATCTTTTTGTTCAATTCGTTTTATTCTACAAGATGCAGCGTACCCCCTATTTTTCAATGTTCTTCTACGTTGCTTCATTCGAACTATGTCATCTCTTGAGAGGCCTCTCAGTTTAAGTTGCCTATTCAAGTCCCTTACAGAAATACTAACCAGCTCGTCATCAGATATGTCGACGATAGGTGGAGGTGATAAAGGAGCCTAACAAATTAAGGATTCATATGTAATTGTTTCTGGATTGACACAAGAGTTACTTACAAGTTTTCCTGATTTTTTTGGTTCTGATGCCATATCTTTGAATTATTTCACGGCAAAATATCTATAATTTTCTTATATATTAAATTTCCAATATTTATGTCAATTTCAAAAAATAAACAAATATAACCAAAAAATTTCTGGATTATTCTGGAATGTCAAATATTTTCATAGACGTCTGGAGATAGCAGCCGTCTCGCATGTGTAATCGTTGGTAGAAAAGTTTATATCCAATTTACAGTTCCCAAAATTCACTACGAAGGAAAGTGACAGTTATTATATACAGCTGCCGGACTGAGTCATGGCTTGTGACTGCTTTTTATATATCCACAAGAACCCAAATGGCATTTTAATATCCATTTATTGTTTACCTCTTCATTCGTACTACGGAAAATTGCAAACAAAAGTTTCTATTCCTTTTTTTTTTCCTAATACTTTCTTTGTCGTACACCGACCCAATAGACCGATTTCGAGGTGTTTGATGAATGACAAACGTTATTTTCTGTATTCTATATTCCATTGAACAATATTTCACATGCTATTGGCTCTTGAATTGAAATCAAATACAGTATATTTGTGTTAATTGAATAGAATTATTCTATTTGAATAAGCGTATCACTTATTTATATATTGTCAACTCACTTTCAGTCATAACAGCGTAGTGTTCATAACACTGTCTTCTCATTTTGCTCATATCGAACATATTACTACTTTTGGGAATCGTTTCTATAATGACGAAAGCTGGTTGGTGATTAACGCACCCCATACTGATTTTTTTTACATCATATATGTATTTTACCTTTGATATGCACTCTCATATTTCCTTCATTTATTTATATTGTCGTAAAATTCAAGTTCATATCCCTCGTTTCAATTTTTTTCTTTCTAGCCTAAGCATAACTTATGTTTGTACTCAATGTCCGGCAAATAGCTATCAGCAAGAAATAATAGAAAAACAGATACTTCAAGTTGTATGCACCAATTACGCAACAATGGAAGCAGAAACACATGTCGACCAAAGTGTCTATCAACAATATGTCGTTGTAGGTTGCATATTGCAAGACACCACAACCCTGGACGAAGCTGCCGTAAGAAGAAATTAATCTACTGCGCCAGCAAGGAGGCAAAAACCAAACCAAAACGAGAAGATGAGTTTTGATGAGGTTAAACCTCTATAATACTGAAATATTCTGATGGATCCACGAACTAAGGTCATGTTAGAAATATATTAAAACTTACAACCTTTTATTTACCGGGGATACCTATGTTGTATGTTTTCTAACTTCAACTTCCTTATAGATGATATATATAGGACTTACCCATATGTATCCAAGGATACACTACCTCTTAAGTGAAGATTGTGGAACTAGAGGCTGGATATATGTCTTAGGACGCACCAAATTAAACGAAGAACAAGTATAACTATAACCTAATAATAAAAAAAAAATCAGTTTGTGTATGGGTTTGTTTTGAATATAAGGGAGTTTAAATTTCTTGAAATTCTATTTTCATTACAAATAATTAAGAACATCATCCATTACGAAAAAATGTTATGAACTCATTTCATTTTCCGAACTAAAATGAAAGTACGAATAAAAAATTGGACTGGAGTGGCTACTTGGCGATGGGTTGCTAATGATGATAACTGTGGAATTTGTCGAATGCCTTTTGATGGCTGTTGTCCAGACTGTAAACTACCAGGTGATGATTGCCCCTTAGTTTGGGGACAGTGTTCCCATTGTTTTCATATGCACTGTATTGTGAAGTGGTTGCAGTCCCAACCAGTTAACCAACAATGTCCGATGTGTAGACAGGAGTGGAAATTCAATAATAAATAACTTGTATAGTTGAATGTTAAGTACCCTATATGAAATAATAAAAATTTTTGAATGAATTTCTTCTTATTCTTCTAGCTGATGTTACAGAAAATTCAAATCACCTGAACTATTCAATATTTTTATTAACTCTGATACAACTTTAATATTTATACTATTTCCTAAAACCATGTATTTCCTTCTATCACTGAGAGAGTCAGGAAATTGAAACTCATCAGGAAAACACATGAGCCTACATATCTCCTTAGGAGTAAAAAATCTCAACTGCAACGATTTCAAAAGTTCCAATCGTGAATCTGAGTTTAAATCTGAAGATTTGGCCAAAGTATATATCTCTGTCACTTCTTTTTCACTTCTAGGAGTGAAGACACTCCCTGTTCCTTCAATAAATCGTCCGTAAGCTTTCGTGAAACAGCAGGATCTTCTAGAATTTTTATGACAAATATCTAAAACGTTGAATCTTTTATTCAATATGTTCTCAGATAGCAAATATTTCTGGTTTGTATCTGCTTCCAATATTTCTTCAATGGAATAACATTCAGGTACTACTTTGAATGCCGGAAAAGATTCCATCTGAAACAAAAATCTTCATCAATTGATCTACTGACTCAAATTGATAAACAATTTTACTTTCATTTGGGAGTATCAGTCATGGTTAATTTTCATCTCCATTATACAAATGATCAATTAGCTCTAGAATATGAAATTAAATGACATTCAATAGTACTCACCATTGGTTCTATTTCGAAGGAAAAACTACTGGGTAACTTTTTCCCTAAACAGTAATATCTATGCCTTGAGTTGGGGATCCCCATTTGGTGAGGGCTCAAAATGAATTCTTGAAATATGAAGTTACTTTTTGTTAATGTGTCCACTAACATGTCTCGCATTATGGACTTTTCAAACCCCTTTACATTTTCAATAAGTATATTTTGTATATTCAGGTCGGGTAAAATTTCTAAAATGTGTAAAAATGATGCAGTTCTGGGATCCTTGATATCATTCTGTAATCCGTTTCGAGTAAATGGCTGGCACGGGGGAGACATGAAAATTGTGTCAATATTCAGTTTTTCGATAAACTCTGGAGTTAATCCTTCAATATTGGAATTGAATAAGGGAGTATTGGGGAAATTTAGTTTGTAAATTTCATTAGCAACATTACTGATTTCAATAGATGCCACTATGTTGCCTTTCACACCACTTTCTGTAAAATAATTCATAATTTGTCATCCACTTTCTAAGAAATCTCAAGTGTTCACATTTTTTTACATTAATCAATAAATAATGAAAATTTACTAATATTTCAAGCGAAATTTGAAATAACCCACCTAGTAATGCTAAATGCATTCCTCCTATGCCACTATATAACTCTAAAACGTTCATTTTCCAAACTAAGATCGATTACTAGAGACCAGTAACGTAATTATTATCATGTCTACCACAGAGACTTTTTGAATCAACATCTACAAAAGTGTTTACTTCTATACTATACGGTATACGGTGACAAAACATTACGACATTTTTACAAGTATAATGCTAAATTTTAGAATCATTTTTCTGACACAATCACAGCATAGTCTATACATGACACTATACACTTCACTTCACACTTTTTAATTAATGGCTTCAGCTGCCAGGGCTATCCAGCCAGGAGTTCCAGGATCATGTTGCTACTATAGGTGGAGCCCACACTAAAGTGGATCTGAGTAGGACTCAAACTCCACCTGAGTTTGCGGTAAAACAAAGTTCAACTGTGATTATAAGTCAGTTAACAAGCAATGTCCGACTGCACTAGAGTGTAAGCACTAATGTGAGGTGGTGCACTATTGTTACGTGTATGGACACTACGATCAGGTCATGAGTGGCGAAGCACTGCATGCGCAGAAGTATTAAGTCTGTCTTGATCATTACAGCTTCATATTGGATGCAATCAGGAATTTGGATATGGTTTTTATGTTAGATGGTGATATATGTTTGAAAAAGATATCGTGGAAGGTAAGAGGCTGAATTGTTGAAGGAGGGGTGCTGAGAGAGGCATGAAGCATTTGTATATTTTGAGAATTGTTAGGGCAGACAAAGAATACATGTAGGAGAGTCTGCATTTCTCCACATTCGCAGTGGTTGTCATCAACTATCTTAAGTTTGTGGAGATGCGCTTTGTTGAGGGAATGATTGCTCCTAATTCTGCACATATTGACGATTTCTCTACGAGAACAAGTAGCCAGATCCTTGAACCATGGAGTTTTGTAAGGTTGTGGTACAGAGGAAAAGTAAAGTTTGGCTTTGAATTGTTCATCTTCGCTATATTGATTGGTCCAGTCTATCCAGATATTATGTTTCAATAATGCGTGAAACTCTTTATACTCTGCTTGATTAGAGGGTGATGGCTCTATATATTAGTTGTCTGGTACGTAATTAAAGGTAATCGCTGTTTGCAGATATGGTTGACTGGGAAATTTTTGCCAGGGCGCTCTTTGAGTCGCTAAAAATGACCGCTTGTTTGACATAGTTATCAACATCATACTGAACTGCTTCTCGGATGGCTGTTATTTCAGCTGCACGTATTGAAAAGAAAAATGGTAATCATCCAGAATTGTGTAGATTGTGTGAAAAAACTCCAATATCAACGTTACCGCGTTCATCTTTAGACCCATCGATGAAAAAATATGTATCATTGGCAAATTGTTGCTCGGCGAGTCTGAGAAAATCTTGGTGATTGTCGTTCTCTTTGGAGAGATTCATTTCGTGGAGGGAAATTAGGAAGATTTGACCATGTAAACTATAGCGGTAACAAGGAAAATTGGGAAGTAGCATAATATCCGGGATGTAGGGTATTAGTCTGATATATGCAGTAAGGATGACGGGAAGACAATTGAGCCGCCAATATGTAGGATATTGAATATATGTATCATACAACTCCATTGCGGAATGAATATTAGGATTCTCGTAAGATAACAATTTAAAAATGCATCTAACTCCCAACTAATTTCGCCTGTGAGCAAGAGGCATCTCTGAACTTTCTGATAGTAGTATAAAACCCAAAGCTACGCGTAATGCTTGATATTGTACTTTATCGAGCTGGTATAACACTGTTTTCGAGCCAAAAAATATGCTGCCGCTGTCAAGATGTGGACGTACTAGAGCTTTATATAATAGGATCAAGGTAGAAGGATCGCCCCCCCCCCCCACCACGTCCGACATAGAGACCTTATTAGATTTATTCCCTTTTGTGCTTTTAAATAAATCCTATATATATGTGTGGACGCCATGATAGCTGATGATGAGAAATTATGCCCAGGTATTTTACCTCTTGTGACCATAGAATGGGGTTGTTGTTGATAAGTATATGGTCGCGGATATCGAACATATGTTTATTGCTTGGCACTTATTGATGGAAAGAGATAGCCTATGTTCTTCCAGAAAGTTATCAATTCTCTCCAGAGACACATTGGAATCATGTATAAGTTTTCGAGTGTCTGTGCCGACGTTTATCAGTGCTAAATCATCAGCATACCCAAATAAAGATACCTGGTCTTTTACTAAATGTTTTAAGGGGAATAGGAATAGAACTGAGGTCTTGTGGGAGACCTCGGTTAGCAGATTCAGGCCCTATAATGCACCCTGTGATTGGGTCTTGGATGCAAATTTGCCGGTTGATAAAGATATGCCCGATTAATGCTGCGAGATCATGTGGAATTGTACCCTGAGCCAATCGTTCCTACGGTTTAGGGATGAGAACACGATCATAAGCTGCTTCGATATCCAGCAGGACCATTACCACATTCTTAACTGATGCTAAATTTGATGCAATGATAGAATTAATTCCAATAAATTTCTCAGTGGTACTTCGACGAAAGCCTGACTGTAGCAGATCTACCAAATTGAGATGTTCCAATGCCAATCTAATCTATTTTTCATCATGAGTTCTAGAAGTTTACCAGGACAAGATGTGAGGGTAATGGGTCTCCAACCAGACTCTGTCGATATATCCTTGCCTGGTTTTGGAATAAGGCAGAGTAATTGCCATTTCCACTCCATTGGGGTGGTAATGGAACCATTCAGGAGTCTGTTGAAAACATTCAGAAGACTCACAAATCTGGTCTGCGGTAAATTCTGTAACATAGTGTAAGTTATGAGATCCAGGCCCGGCACAGTACACTTCCTTCTGGGCTTTTGACATAAATAGTAACTGATTGAAATCAAAATCTGACATCGCATCTCAAAGACAGAATACACAAGAGGGATTCTTAAATTCACCAATTATTTTTCCGATGGATTCATCTATTACTTCATTCAAAACGATTTTATTAGTTGAAGCTTTGAATAAAGACGTCGAAGGTTGGTTTCTGGTTTTTATGGGCATCGACCTTAGTCATATGCTCAATTTTAAGGTGGCGATGGTTATAATCGGGCTTCGCTACTTTGTCTATCTTACTTCCTTGGAAGACGCAGGAATCCAACCGGCATAGACATCATTCAGTCACCGATTTTACGTCAATTTAAACTACTTGAATAATTTCCTAGAACACTTCTCAACATGCTTTTCGGAAAATCGTGCAGGTACACACGCATTCCAACAATTTTCCGTACGCTTTGGTGAAGGCTATTCTGCTGCTGTTACCGAAAGTATCTACGAACAAATAGTCTTTTGTAATTTGTATATAAAATTTGACATGCTATTCTGAAAGTGATCATGTTCACAACTAGAAGATAAAATCTACACTTGATTTTGTTTCCACTTCGAAGGAGTGGCCATTTATCTAGATTTTATAATTCGAATACAAATACGCTAACTCATTTAGCGAAGTGAGTTATAGTTTTTTGTTCTGGTGAAAAAAGTTTTGTCAATGATTGAATGGGTAGGGTGAAAATAATACTTCACAATTCATACAACGCTAACATTTAATGCTAATAGTTGTATCGACACACTGTGTCCTCTTCCGAGGTAATTATCTAAAAGAACAATTCGGTCAGACCAGTCTCACCTGTCGTAAATAATCAAACGTCCTTCGTGGTATTAGCCAAAGTAGTATTAGTTTTTTTCTGATTGGTGTTAGTCCATTAGCCAACAGTGTAGGTAATTTGAGACTGACTGGTCTGAACGAATTGTTCTTTCTGATAATTTGATTTAAAGCCAGTCTCCAAGTATGCCCACTCAATTTGCCAACTCTTCTGAGCGAGTTATATTGGAATAATTTTACAACAGAAGGAAATATTTTGATTTCAAACAGCTGATTAACCTCAATGAAGCAGTGAAAACAATTTGGAACTGCAACTATAACTTCGATTTATCGCCAGGAAACGTACCCCTAGCAGTTTCTAGTGGACAAATCGATCGTTACTTCTTTCAGTTTTAATTATTTCTGAAGAGGCGTTTTGTCAAAATTTAAGTAATGAATGCTTTCTGAGAATTGTTATTATTTGTATCATTGTTAATTAGGAGGTAAACATTTGAAATAATTTTTTCCTTATTATTGATAATTTATCACTACCAGAGTCCATTGTATTATTCTTCATAGTTAGTTATGATTTTTGTCCACAGATATTATAATATAAATAAGTTTTAAAAAAATCTATCTAAAATCTGTTTTTTCGTTAAGCAGCTGTCGCACCCCTATGAACGACAACCCTCAGAAGTAGAAACTTGTGCGAGCTAAGGATTAACGAGGTCTTACCTCCTAACGTGTGATTCCTGACACGGGTTGGACGATAGCAAGTGAAAATCGATCGTTCAGACTGGGGCTTGAACCAACGACCAACACGGCAGTCAATTCGAGTGAGTGAACAAAGCACCCACGTCGAACCGCCTGGCTACCGACCGTATATATACGTTATAATATCTATAGTGTTGTCAAGTTACGATTCTAGACTATTTTAACTCACTGTTTCAGATATTTGAGAACCACATCAATTATTTGAAAGAAAAAAGCTACATGCATTATCCATATTCTGTCTATCAAGTCCTAAGGGATTCTTTTGATCTTTACGCCCTATAATTACGTCTCATGTTCAAATGTCAATTGTCAACGTCTAAATATCAGCTGAAGAGAACCAATGTTTTTGTGGACATTCGGAAAATGAAATGTTTTCAAATGATGTTTCATTGGCTTTTGATATGATTAAAAAAGACAGGATTGATATTGTGAGACGATTACAAACCGATAAACATTACGAAATTGTTATTCAGTAAGATTGATCTGCCAAAGAATTATAATCAGATGTTACCAAATTGGATTTATGAAAATAATAAATGCAAACAATGTTCAGGAGTAGAAGCTGGTTTGCTGGAGGTTGGGGTCGTCCCAAAAATTTGCATTCTCTGGAACATCTGAAGTATCTCTACAATGTACTTTCCAGAAATCAAACAGTTTCGGAACACAATCGAGGGTTATTGGTTGAATCTTTGAGGTCAATTGCAGAAATCTTGATATGGGGTGACCAAAACGATTCATCCGTCTTTGAGTAAGTAATTGGATATATAGATTTTATTGAAGCTCACAGTTTTTACTGTTGCAAAGTTCAGGCCAGAAATACATTTCAACTAAAATTCATGGACATGAAATGTGAATGTGAAAATATAACTTCATCAGTATCAATTAATGGTGAATTTATGCACACACAAACATATAAAGTAGCAAGTAATAATTAGGATGTGACATCATTTAATATAAGTTGAATTCTCACTTTCCAATGTATGACACGTTTGTTCAGAAAAATTAACAATTATCAAGTGACTAGTAGAAGTCGGCCAACTTTATACTTTCTTACTTCAATTGTAGCAAATTTTCTACTAGTGTGCAAATGAAATGGCTCATTTCAGAACATGGACAGTGGAAATGAGGGATAATCTAACCTAATAATTTTCAAATTTCAAAACATTGTTGGCTGTGTCCTGTTTAGTTTAATTTCTGAAATAATTTGTTTCTATAGTCGCTAAAATCTAAATAAATCATGCTGTGTTAAAAACTAAACAATAAAATATTGCAATTCAAAAATCAGGAACTCACTTTGAGCATTGAAAAACTTGTAGAATAAAAGTTTTTCATGATCCTATGCTGCAGACCTTTATTTACTTACCTTACTTCCATTTCTTCCATACAAAATGTGTAATGTCCTCAATATTGTATATTTTCTATAAAACTAAATGACAAGAGACTTTTTCGTTGATACGTAGTGTTACAAAATTAATCTAGAAATGAATGTAATGTTAAATTTCGTGTGAACTTTTTTTGGTGAAGTACATCAATTATTTTTGGCAATTATGGTTTTCACTCCCTGGAATCAAAAACTTTTTAAAATTGATGAAATGAAGGCAAATAACTTCTTATTATGAATTTTACCTTCACACTTCAAAAAACAAAATATATGAATTTCAAATCTGTTAAATGTTAAATCAATGTCCATTTGATGGCGTTTCGGGAACCACCTTCTCTCGTATTCTCACAGAAAACACATTGGAAAAATGTACAAAGTTGTACAATCCCATAAATGCTAAGAATAACTGATGTTAAATTTGTTTGGCCATCGAAAAGATAAGGAACATCACCTCTTTTTTTGTCATGTGAACTTCACCTTCAAACCACTCATAGATTCTGGCTTTACCTAGGGCAGCATCCCCATAAACAGTCAGTTAGGTAGAAAAGGGTCAACGAATGTTATTGACAATTTACCTAATCTAGGTATAGATATTATTGCACAAAATTGCCAGAGTCAACATATAAACGCTTTACGCAGCCGTAATATCCAATCATCGGAGATTAATTCAGGATATATAAACCTCTGAAAAAGCTTGCTACTCGTGCCAGCAAAACGTCAGGAAGAAATTAAAAAAATTGACAGCATTCAAACCCGAAAAATAGTGATACTGAAAACCTCGGCCACGAAAGCTTTAACCATTTTGTCAACACAATGAATATCTATTTTTATAATGTGTAGGACAATTGAAAATTGATTTGTTTTTATATACAAATTTTATTGGCTAACCTATAATATCTGTAAAGGCGAACTATTTCTGCAAAATATTGGTATACCTTCAATGTTGAATAAGCAAAGTAAGGAATACGTGGTCTTCTTAACCAGTCATTGAAAACCCTCTTCTACATCTATATAGAAGCTCATTGAAGATATCCAAAAAAATTGTTTAAATAATTTGTTGTTTTGGATTTTTACAGTTTCTTTTTGGAAAAAAATATGCTATCATTTTTTTTACGGATAATGAGGCAAAGAAGTGGTGGATCCAGCTTTGTATGTGTCCAGCTTTTACAAACTCTCAACATTCTTTTTGAAAATATAAGAAACGAAACTTCATTGTGTAAGTATTTTTTTACTGGAACATCGCATGTGAAACAGAGTAATTTGATTCCTTTTTCAGACTACCTTCTTTCTAATAATCATGTCAACTCTATAATAGTACATAAATTTGACTTTTCTGATGAAGAAGTAATGGCTTACTACATTTCGTTCCTGAAGACGCTCAGCTTGAAACTCAATGCCCATACAATTCACTTTTTTTATAATGAGGTTTGTGAGAATTTTTTTCAGAGCATGTAATATATATGTTAAAATTTCCAGCACACAAATGATTTTCCACTATACACCGAAGCTATCAAATTCTTCAATCATCCAGAATCCATGGTTAGGATAGCAGTGAGAACATTAACTTTGAATGTCTATAAGGTCGAAGATGCCAGCATGCTTGCTTTCATTAGAGACCGAACTGCTGCTCCATATTTCTCGAATATTGTTTGGTTTATTGGTAAACATATACAAGAGTTGGATTTCTGTGTGAGGAATGATGCTGAGTAAGTAGAATGTTTTGCATTTTGAAAAATGAGAAATGAATCTTTTTATGTTCATTGTATTATTGTATCCGTCTGAAAATGTCTATATATGACAAACTGCAATAACGATAGTTACTAGTAAAACTGGTAAAAAATATGGAAAGTTTCATTTCCCATTTTTCAGGATGATCTTCTACCATGTAGTAATGGCTCAATCAATCAATTTATTGTTTTTTATCTACTATTACCACATTATTATTTTGTTTGTAAAAGGCTAAACATTTGCACAATTCTAATATAAAATAATCAAAACCAACCTGAATTATTCTTCTCAACAAGGATCTGAATAGCAATTATTTTCTCATAATTAATTGATATTTTTAAAGATTTCTCACACCAAAGCTGAAAATAATTGCAAATTATGTTTTCGCTGCGAAAAAAAATCGCAGTTAATTGAAGAAGGTAACCTCTCTAGACTGGTCCAATTTCAACCAATCGGGTTTACAGCATTGCATCTGATGCACCTACGACATTATTCATTGCTTCTCGCACGCCAAAGCACTATTATTTGCAGATGATTTTAAAATTTTCGTGATTATTAAAACCTCATTGGATGCCCATAGGCTTCAGTCTGACCTTGACAATCTATCAAACTGGTGCTCCATAAATGGCATGGACTTGAATGCCACATACACTTTTGATTACACTTCAAATGGTCATGTCTTAGAGTCCGTAAATCAAATAAAAGACCTTGGGGTTGTTCTTGATCCCACCTTGAGCTTCAATCTACATATACACACGGCTATCCATAAAGCCATAAAATGCTAGGGTTTATCAGATGGCTAACCTACAAATTCACTGACCCAACTACTATCAAAGCCCTTTATTGTTTGCTGGTCCGACCACACCTGGAGTATTGTTCTTCTGTCTGAGTACATGTTTATAAATAAAGACTATTTCATCAGTTCGGACTTCCATTGTCGTAATATAGTTATTGAAAATAGTTATTGAAATCCCTGAAAAAAATAAAAGATTAACCGAAAATATCAATTTAATTAATACAAAAAATTCAAATTACCAGGAAATAACATATAAGCTACAACCAGGGATCTACAACCAGGGATTTCAAATCAATTTATAACATATTAAGACAATGGAAGTCCGAACTGATGAAATACACCACGAAACATTGTCAACCACCTTCAAACAAATAATGAAGACTAAATATGTAAATACAACACCACTATACTACTACACCACTACAACAACAAAAAGAAACAACAATATGAAATATTTGATTAAAAAGTTGCATTAAAAATTCATCAATGTTATCAAATACATTTTCTTCTTGTTTACATTATCTGGCTTGTATTTTATAATGTTATGAAATGGTTACATTTATATTTTTCGGTTTGTAAAATGAATTAAATACTTCGAACTTGGATATCACCATATTTCTGATCAAGACAAACTGAGTGTACACCATCATTGTTATATTATTTTAATTTTGTTTCAGTCATCAATCTCAAAACAGACTCTCGGACTTGGTAGCTGAACATTTGGATCATCTTCACTATCTGAATGACATTCTTTGTCTGAATATAACAGATCTTAATCATGTATTAACCGACCATTTGCTACACAAACTGCTCATTCCCCTGTACATATACTCATTATCAACAAATAGGAAGAAAACGTCTGCTATCGATGCTTTGTCCCAAAATCTGAGTAGATCGTCCTTAACTCCAAAAGGCTCGCAGAACAGTAGTCCAAAAGTTCACGATCTTACAAACGGCAAGGTATCGTGTGTCGTAGCTTTATTTTTGTTGTCGCAAGTATTTTTGATAATAACTCACTCGCCCTTAGTACAAACTCTGGCTTGGATAATTTTGAAAACAGATCGAACTATTTTCGAAAGCGGCGTCGACAAGCTGTTGGAATATTATGAGAAAGAAAAAGAAAAGAAAAGATTGGAAGACGAAGCTGGTGCTCAGGCTACAAGTGATATTAGTTCTAAAGATAGTTGTAGTTCTAAGGAGAATATTGTAGACGAACAAACTAACCTGAATATAACAGACGAAGAAAAAGAAAGGTTGGCAACAAGTCCGACAGATGGGGTGGCTGCAGTGATAGACCATCCTTTTTTGGAAACTGTTTATGACTCGCTGGACTGTACAGAAAACGATTACACCTCTTTATTTGCTCTTTGTCTTTTATATGCAATGGCTAGTAACTCAGGTAAATATTTCCCATCACCTTGAAATTTTCAGGGAGATTTAGATAGATAAATAGATAGATGTTTATTGACTGCGTTATATAAAAAAATACATACACCTCAGGTCATGAGGTGTGGACAATTTGTATATAGAACACAGTATGTACTTAAAGACCAAAAATCACTTAGGCATAAAAAATTATAAGTATAGATAAAAGTTGCCAAGCAGGCAATCAGACAGGTGAATTATTAGTGAAATATGTTGGGAGGCAGATCTGTGAATATGTATCATGGGTTAGGTTAGGTTTCTGTTGAGTGCCTTTATGTTTAATATTGAAAATACACCTCCTGAAAGAATTTTAATTCGAAATATACTTCGTTCATATTGTTGAAATATCCCAACTTTCATAAACCGTTAGAGTTTTTGGCAAATTTTCCCACGTACCTCTGATAAATCCTTAAGGAACACTTAGATTTTTATAGACGAATGTTATCATCAGTTACCTTTTGAGTTTTTATAAAACACATTGAAAAAAAAATTGAATGAACTGTTTCAATGATTCAACTTTGCCTACTTTTAAACCAAATATCAGAATAATTGTTGGACTACAGTAGAGATGAACCATGATGTCTAACAAGCCTTTTTAGGCTAGGGCCGCACTGCAGGAAGGTTGGTAGGATGGTGGATGGTAGATAGCTGCCTGGCGAACATTCTGCTGTTTATAAACGTGAGTAACAGAACAACGGTAGCCGCAGTGGTCCCCCACTACCATCTAACCTCCAGAAACCATCCAAAGGTACGCCAGGCGTCTATCCAAGCTAATCAGTCGTGTTTGATATTCCAGCCGGGTAGCTTAGCTAGGAAGGAAAGCGTAATAAGTTCTGTGTACAAAAGAAGGGCAATTTGGGACCCAGCAGACCCATTAAGGAAAAATTCAAATATTTTGACGACACTGCTGATATAGCTTCTCTGAAGTTCTTTGCAATTTGCATTCAGTCAACTTCAAAAGTAGGTCGAATGCCTCAACTAACATCCTTAAATACAAATAAAATTTGTCAGGGTGTTGTCTTAATTTTTTTGTAGACTCTCACAAATTCTCCGTCCTGTTGACGCCTCAAATTGTAAGTATGCACCCACGGTTTTTTCATAACACTATTTGCCACTATAATTCTCGAATATGAACTTAGTAAAAATTTTTTCGCAAGTTTAGAGAGAGACATGATTGTTACTTTTCCGCTGTCAGTTGGATACTGGTTTCATTTCACTGCGTCCAGGATGTATTGTCCCTCCACCATCCACCCTCCAAGCGACCATCTAGCATCCTGCAGTGCGGCTCCAGGTTTACAGATCACTGTCATTTGAATCATCATATGCAAGGACTCGGACTGTCGGAAGACAGTGTGTGTCCCCTCTGTTTGAAAAATAATGAAACAGCAGAGCACATACTTTGTGCCTGCCTCGCTGGGGACCGAATCAGGTTTTTAGAGTTCAGCAGAGCCGTACTTTTACCATCTGACTTGAAAGACCACTCACCATACAAAGTAATCGCCTTCGTTAAGAAGCTGGGTTTATTTGGTCGAGTGTGAATATATGTGAGCCACAATAAACCCTTGCGGGTTGCGATGGATATTCGAATAGACCCACTCATTTTGGACCTAACCTAACCTAGGTCTTTTATTTACTGATAATGTGGGTCATCAATGAATTCGAAGTATTAGTTATTGTGTTAGTTTATAATTATGCCTCAGTTCCTAATTTATAAGTGTAATGAGTACTTGTTATGATACCTTACATTTACCTGAATTTTACTTCAAATTGTTACATTGGACAGCCCCTTATTTACTCTCTTATATAATAATTTGAAGTGAATTCAGTTAATATTAGGTGTCATGTTGAAAAGAGACAAAAAAAAAATTGTAATCCAATTCCAGGCAGTGGTGTTGATTTGTTGAACTCAGCTGCCTTTGAAGGACAAGCTTGAGTATGTAGAGGTTATGACATCTCCTCTTTTAAAGGCGCCACTTTTGAGATCGCCAGAAGACTCATTGCACGAATATCAAAGAGAAAGGACAGATGAGTCCAGCTATTTGTTATTCAGCCTAGTGCCACTGATGAAACCGATAGCGGGTAGAAACAGCGCTGTCTGGTGTTGGATTACGAAAAAGACTCATGTGGAATATCTTTAATATATTAAAGATCCACCAAATGCCTTAACTGTTGATACAAATTCAAAAAATCAGTCATTTGATGTGATATCTTCTTTCCCTCTTTCAGGTGTCACCTCAGATATCACAGAGCAAGTATTGAGGCCAAAAAAATGTTTCATATCAAAATCTTCAACATCGTCAAAAGACGTTCGATATACGTACAATAGTTATTTGGTGGAGAAGATGCTGCAAATCATAATATTTTCGTGCCAACCATCTTGCAGAGTCAGACTAGTAACTTTGGAATTATCACTTAAGTTATTCGTCCAGCTTGTGATGTGTGATGGGAAAAATATCCTTTTAGAGTCACATAAATTAACGATTGATACTGCCAAAACCCAGAGTACAGCATTATTGAGGAATTTTTATAAAAGCGAAGAGATTTTTTTGGATATGTTCGAACATGAGTAAGACATTTAATTTTTCTGGATTTAATAATAAAATTCGTAGTTTATTTTTGCTAATGGAAGAAATTTCAAGAAATTTCTAACAATCTCCATTTTAGAATATTCCTAATTATTTTTTGTAGGTACTGTGATATGTCTAAAGGTTCTCTTAATGTCGAATGGCTATGTATGGATAGTGCAATCTTATTGCCTCCAACTGGAACTCCTATGACTGGTATTGATTTTACTAAAAGACTGCCCTGTGGAGAGGTAAGAAATGATTAATAAACACAATAAAACATTTCTGATATCGTTATATTGATAAATCTTTATTTCAAATTAAATCAGAACAGGCAACATTCAAATCGTATTTTAAAACAGCTGACGTACATAAGGCAGATCTTTTGAAGTATTCATAATTTGTTTCTTCATCTCAACAAAATAGTTATGAGCAATGAGATAGTTTGGTGCTCGAACACATGTCGTAAAGACCGACCATGTAACAATGACAATATATCTAGTGAAAAAACCAAGTGTTCAGTGACAACTTATTATTAATATTGAAAAAACATGTTTTTTTAAATGAGCAACAATCTGGATTTGAGTTACAGAATAGACCTGTTGAAATCCTTAATGTATTCTCTAGTACCGAAGCATGAATTACACTGAAGTTGTTAAAGTAATGTAAGAGTGTGAAAACAAATTTTGATGAGAATCCGTGACAAACGTATTGAAGTAACACTTCATTGTGATATTTTCTTTAAAAAATTGTTTACAAAAGTGCAACACGTGTTTCATTGTACAATAGCTTCTTTAGGAGTATGGTTCTGTGAACCTTTTTATGAATATCTCACAATAAAATGTTATCAAAAACGAAATCATAGATGTATAAAGATTCAATATTAAGTAGAACAAGTGATCTCGATGTGACTCTGATTTTTCAAGACACTGATATAATTTTTTACATTTTTCTAGGCCTATTAGATTTAAACTAGACATTTTTTAACCATTTAAATTTTCACAAAAAGTAAAAAAAGCCAATTCTTGAATCAAGTTTTTGACTCTGAAGTTGGAATCTCAAAAACCTGATTTTGGAAGGCTTCAATAGCTCCTTAAGGTAATGAAACTCGCTGTCCAAGCATTTTTGTTTCACATAGAGGAACAAAAAAAATCGTAAGGTAATGAATTAGGACAATTTGGGTATTCAGTCATCAATTGATCAATGGATGGTGATGATGATATGGTGATATGGTCAATGACGAAAAAGAACTTCAAATTTTCCAAAATATTGTTGTACGTAGACGACCTAAAGATATTTTCATAATAAAGTCAAACTGCAAACTGCTTAAACGTTCAATCTGACCTTTATCGATTCGCTCAATATTGCAACTGTAACAGATTGTTTCTCAACTTGAATGTTCGACTGTCTCATTTACAAAAAATCAGTATTTGATTCAATTTGACTTGTTTCATGATATGGAAAATGATACTGATTTNTCGTTTCTTTTCAAGTAACTGACTCTAAATAATTCTAAATCATTCAATTATTTATTATTCATCATCGATGAATTTCCTTCCAAAATGCTTTTTATTTGTACAGTTTTTAAATCAAAATCATGAAAACTGTATCAAGGAGATATACGTACAATATCCTACGTGATATTAGCCGGGCAAATATTTATTTTCTTGTACAGTTTATGTTGTCTTGTACGATATAAGAAATATTTGAATGTTTATTATTATTTTTATATATGGGTCATATGTTTTTAGCCTGATTTTTTTATTATTTGAATTCATATTTTTACTTTCTTTTTATAATCATTGGAATGTAAAAACCAACCTCACCTAGCATATATCAATATAGTTCTCTAGTAAGTGCATATCAACTGGTTGATCATAGTGGAACCTTTTTAGTCTAATTTTTCTGTTAAAATCAATTTTTCCAACTTTAGGGCTGCAAAATATAAATTAATTTGACAGAGAGATTTCTGATTATGCACTTATCAAGTAAATTACATCTAGCATTTTTTTAGGTGGAACGTGCCAGAAGGGCTATCCGGGTGTATTTTTTGGTAAGGAACTTGGTGCTAACATTGAATGGTGAAATAGAAACCCAATTGCCATTGACGAACCCGCAGAGCTGTGTGCAGATCGATCAAGCGCTGGACCTGAGTATAACTCGTTGTGTGTCAAAGCCGCATGCATTGATCAATCACTAGTTTATTTGTTGAAAATTTTCGAACGCCCTTTCGTTTTCATAGTTTATTATATTTTATTTTCGCTTTGCTTTTGTTTTACTTTGTTTGGTGTGGGCAATGAAAATTGACGAAGGAACTATGAACTGAAAGTAGCTTCTGTCTTCTGTAGCAGAATAAATATGAACCTCTTTGGTAAGAGTTACTTAGTGTTTCAGAACACTTTAATTCTTTCAATTTATTGATCTTTTTCATTGGAGCCAGAAATCCTTCGTCAATTTTTATGATAAATGATTTGAAAAAAATCCTGCTCATTCACATTATTTATATTTTACAATTATATCATTGATTTACAANCCTCCAAACAATTATCTGCAAAATTGAACTATTTGCCTTGTCTAATGAAGTCACTTTCCATTATGGGAGAACATTTCAAAATCGTAGATAAATTCAAAGAAATTGCGGGAAATTTCTATAAGATAATATTGACAAATGACATAGCCTTTTATAGTGATGTTTGTGAACAAGTGACGTCATGCACTTTGATGTTTATTGTCACAGTGATTCAATTATATCACAATTGATCATTAACGGTTAATTACATCACTCAGAAAAAAAATATGTTTTTTGGGATTCCTATTGAAAGATAACAAATGTTTCGAGACAAAATTCTATTTTTATTTGAATATTGCCATTATATCTGTAGTTTTGTCAAAATTTTGAATTATTAAGAGACATAAATATTGAAGAGTTTGGTAATTTCAGAACACATGCATATTTTTTATCTATTTGTCTATGAGCATTCCAGTTCAATATTAACATAGACACAGTTTAAAAGACAGACACAGTAATTGTTAAAGTAACTAGCCAATTGATTAATTTTTAAAGGATACTGAAAAAGAGCCTGCATCTCACTAACAACTGGCTTTTCGAAAAAGTTGTAAGTGACAAAAAGATTTAAAAATTATGTATTAAACCTACAGTCTTATAATACTTGTTTAATCGTAATGCATGGAAATGTTCGCAGGGTTTAAGGGGTTCAATATCCCCTAAAATTTTATGGGCAGAACAGATTTTGTGAATTTATATGAAAAAGATGCTCTTACGATAAGAGAGCCATGAATTCATTTTCATTACAAAATGTTGAATAGTTCATGAACTATTGGAAAAAATTGATTTTCGTTTTGCAGTAGGGTGAGTTATATCCAATCAAGTTATTTTTGACCCCATAATGTGTGTGGTTCAATTTATTACCTACCTTTTGTTACCTCCCTGTACAATATCCATACATTAATACTCTATAACGTTTCACTAAAATGACATGTTATGGATTTTCATTAAGTATCGGCCAATTCACTCATTTACAACAATTCTCTTTGAAAATTCATTTTATTTATAGATGATGTCATTATTTAAATTTTTTTGATTGATGTCAAAGGAAATTTGAAATATGAAATATATCAAAACTGTTGATTGACATCTGTAAGACAGAATAGTGTATTATTCTTCAAGTTTAAACTTCTTACTAATATGTGCTTCATTGGTTATCATTCTCGTCTTACTCTATTCCATTCAATGGTGGCCATTGAATTTAGAAATATGTTCTGAGCGCATTTTGAGTATACAACCCCACGAGATTAACCTCTTTGAATGTTCTTAAATATATTGAGAATTCCATCTGAAATGGAGGCAAAGGATTAAATTCCAGGAAAGATATACAAGTACATTTTTTACAGAATATGTACGTTGAAAGTGCATTTTTTTTATTCACTTATTCACACTACAAAAATATTACACATTGAACGATTCATTACTTTCCTAATAATCTGTCTGGTTTTTACTAATATAATCTAGGTATATGAACTCTTTTAATTTTTCAAAGTATTCATACAATGATAAGGTTTATATTCACTTATAAATACTTTCAATGCTGAAATACCATCTATATTCTTCATAGTAGAATTGTTGACTAACATAGCTTTCAAACATCCAAAATGAAGCACTAGTGATTGACCAAATCTTGTGGCATCCAAACTTAGCAAAATCCCTCATGAAAATATTTCTTTTTGTAGACAACTCTGATCTTATCGCCTGCACTGTAGTTTGGAAAGACGGCACCAAAATGAGAAGGTTCTTAGTGATCGATATTCTTCAACTGATTCTTGTGGAACCCGACACGAAACGGTTAGGGTGGGGTGTAGCGAAATTGGTAGGGTTCTTGCAAGACATTGAAGTTACTGGAGACAAGGATGATTCTCGATGTTTGCACATCACTATTCACAGGCCGATATCTGGAGCTACAACGAATAGGGTGCCATTACTAAATGCCAAGTTTGTGTTTGATGATAACATCCGGTGCATGGCTGCTAAACAAAGGTTATCTAAGGTGAGTAGTTTGCAAGTGAATTTGATGATGTGGGTTATTTAGAATCAATCAATTTCAATCAATCAATTTATTTCAACAAGAACAAAACCAGTTATTACAGTTCAGTTGGCTGATGAAGCAAGTTCAAGGTTATCTAATTATTCATTTAGTTAACAATATACAAACAGAATGTCGGAAAAATAAGTAGAATTTCTAATAATACACAAAGTAATCCTTGGTGAATACAATAGGTATATCTTAATATAAATAATATTGCTCTGTTTTGAAACTCATCCGGAGTGGAACAAAATACACCACTCGTTGATGAGGTATTCAAATAGTGTAATAACATATATCAAATAACAGCAGTAGTTGAGTATGAGAATGTAGATGAAGATGGAAGTTAAAAAAAAGAAAAAAAATTCTTATACTGAAAAACCAAACAAAACAAAACAAGACAAAATTGGAAGGAAGGGACAGTGATCGGCCTTGCAGGATTATGAGGAGATTACAAAGAGATCCAAGAGTTTTGATATATTTGAGTCTCGGAACACAAAATATTATGTAGCCCACAGGAAATCCTATGAGTAATATTTTCAGATAAGAAACTTGACCAATATTCATAAAGCTGACAGAAAATCATATTGATGTATTCTAATAAAGCGCAGAGGATCTGATAGGTAAAAATTCATATAGTGCCCCAATAAATGATGAGTTGATTTTTTAACACCAACTGGTCCAAGCCCAGCATTTGCAGGTCAGGGTTCCTATACTGGGAGGACGACCATTCGAGGCAGTAGAGAAAATCGACCCCTATTCAATATCTCAAGAGGCCCTGGTTTTGCAGCACCAAGAAGAGAAAGTTCACCTGGAATAATACACAGAGCAGATGAAACTCGCAGGAACAGAGATGTAGATAGCCCCAACAAGAAAGACAATGGCCGAAAAGACCTCAAATCACGTGACAACTCGACAAACAGGCTTAGATCAAGAGAGGGGTCTCCTCGAATGCCGAGGCCTAGGTCAGAAGAAATACCATTGGAATTAATCAAAAAAGCACCCAGTTCTGTTATTGATATGGCGCCAAAGATCACAATAGTTCCAAGGTATTATTTTATCTTTGATTTGTTGAATTTCAGTAGATAATCTAAAAGTGAATTAATAATCGTGTCGCATGAATTCCTTCATTTAGATAAACAAAAATTGTTCTAGATTCTAGACTGTAATTGTTTGTATCACATTTTTGATAATTAATCTTCTGCTTTTAAAGGCCACAAACGCCAAGAACTATTGTTGAAACTGAACCGTCCACTTCTAATGGAAGTCAAACTCCTGTTAAAGAAGTGATTGCTGTGGCATCTATATCAGAAGAAACATCATTCATTGCTGATGAACTAAATGGAGATGGTGTTGATTCATAATGGTCATTTGGAAGACTATTTGTAAATAGCTTGGTATATTTGGACATCTTTGTCACTGTTGTAAATTGAAATATCATATGTAAATAAATTATTAAACACAAGTGATATTACCAATTCATTGTTTATTATATGTATCAGAAACGGGATTGGAAAAGGGGTGGAGTAGGTGCATATGACATTCTCCAGGTTTATGTGAAAACACCTTACCCCTTGCCTCTCAGTAGACTTACGACTTTGTAGGTACACTTGGCAGATACCCGACCGAAAAAACAACAACTAACCCAGCTAATGCCGCGCAGAGAGTTGAAGTAAAACCATCAGGCATCTGTGCAACATCTTCGATTTGGAAGATTTGTCGCAAGTAATTTCCTACTATATATTTTATATACGATACGTTGAAAATTTTTTTTACCACTTCTGAACCGTGTGATATGTACGTTTCTCCCAAGTCGCCGGCAATACTGCAGCCTCGTTGACTTATTGTAGTTTTTCTCGCATCTTTTTCATGACAGCCATTCCAATCTAGTGCCCTGTACTAGTTTATACAAATCCCTTGCTGGATACATGTCATATTCTTCTGGACATAATTTAGGTTGTACGTAAATTATTTGCGTCCTGTGTTCCAATGCCTGACATTCACATGAAATGTAACGATCTGTTTCTGTTCGTTCGTTGATTGAGTGTCCTTGCACCCATTGTACAGTCAATTTATTTCTCTCCACCAGTTTCCTCAGTTCTTCATGGCATTTCCAGATCAGTCTCAATGCTACTTTTTAGTTCTTCAGTGCTCTATGTGCAACCTGGCCATCTGTTAATACCTCAAATTAATGTTCCTTGCATATTGCAAGATTGCATACACTTCAGTCTGAAAGACTGATGTGTACTGCCCGACTGGGTAACTGAAATGAAGATTTATCCCCACACAGTGAATTCCAGCTTCTCTTAAATTATGAGATGGCACGCATTTTGATGATATGGTTTGATGTACAAATTTTGAGATTATTTAAATGAGACGGAAGATAATATCAACTCTAAAAAGTCAATTCGAATATCAAATATTATTGAAGTGAAATAGCACCAATTCATGTTCATTTTGGTCGGTTAAACGTCTAGTGTTGATTTATTTCATTGATTTTATTGGGGAAGTTATCAGTTCACATTCTTTTTTTTTTTGTTTAATTTTTCATACTAAATAAAAATGGCGCGTATCCTAAATATCAACAACAGGCTCCATATAAAGACATTTTTTCAATATTTCCAGTATCATCCCACATACCAATTGAACGGGAAAATATTGAAATTGAACAAGATATGAGGAATGAATGAAAAATGTTTTTTAGAAGAAATAGCCAGTGACGTCCCTAAAAAAATCAAGAACGTTAAAAAGGGCCAGGAACCCATAAAAATAAGTTCGTATAGAAATTTCAATACTTTTCCATACGTTTCATGGACATTGATTATCTAAGGTTGCCTGACAAGTTTCAACTGGATAGCCTCAAAAATATACTACGTTTATAATGAAAATTAGGGAAATATTAAAAGTTCAACTTCTATATAAGAACATAGGCTTTCGCGGCCGGAGTCACGATTAAAGAGAACAAAATCCGGGCTAGTAGGTCGTAGTCGAGTGAAACCTGAAGTAGGTACCAAAAGTTTCGTCTGCTACTGCGGCAGACGTCATCAGTGGTATGAATGTTGACTGCGAAGACGAAAGTTACATATATCTCGAAGTCTCAGCTGACTGGCGAGCTATGTGTTCACTCATCACTCTTATTTATAATTTCAGGGGGTGGTGGTGGTGACCTCGGCTAGGCCGACGGTGGGGGCGATGGCGAATAGTACACAAATGCTCACTCCTGATTGGTCCGCACTTTTACTGAGTTGTTATGATTGATCTGCACTGTTACTAGGTTGTTCCACGTTGTTTATGAGTATGCTACTGGTGGGATGTCGATCATAGTTGAATTATAGTCCATTAATGGTCATGAGTAGGGTAAACTGGGTACGGTTGTGACAATTTTCATTTGATCACCCATAATTTTGTTAGTATGCCAGTTAGACACAAAAAATATTTTTTTTTTAGTAAAGTGTGTATTCGTGTACGCATAAATACTAAAATACTGTGCCTAAACAAAAAGGTTAACTCATAGGACCAAAATTAGAAGAGATGAAACAAATGTCACAACCGACCACACCCCAGGGGCGGTTGTGACAGAGTTGGGGGTCGGTAGTGACAAGTTCTAAAATACACAAAAATGATTTGAAATTACTTTTATTGCGAGTAATATAAGAAATCTAAGATTAATTTTGAGTTCTAAAAACTGAATAATGAGATACTGAGATCTAATCAGACTCATCACAGTTATGACAAATGTAATGGCGACTACAACCTGCGCACTTTAAGTGGTAGCAAAGTTTACATTTTCCTTAGCATTTGATCCATTTTTCGCCAGGCCTACTTTCAGAATATGTACCTACACAGACAGAAATACTCTTCTTCATCCGATGATGGTGGTGATATCTTCTTTTTCGTGACTTTGTTTTTTTTCCTTTTCCATTGGTTTTTTCTTTTGACATTTAAACGGACAAAACTTTTGAAACAACCTAATATATGAAGTGAATTGAAAGTATTTTCCTGATATTTACCAATAGTGAACGATTATCAAACTGTATCTGATGAAAACAAATTGGTTGGCGAAATGTGGAGATGATAGGTAGTTCTTTTGCCAAATTTCACTACCAGAAATCATAAAAGTAAGTAAGAGATTACTGAGAATAGAATTTTTCTCATAAGTTTTTGTTCTTTCTCAACGAAAAAAAAAACAATTGTGACTATTGCAGAAAATGAAAAATAGTAGAGCCAAAACATTGAGGATGCTAGTAGTTTTGTAATTTCTTCGAAACCCACTAAAGAAGAAATAGGTTTAAATTAAAAAATTGGGTTAGAAAACACATTTTTTGTAAAAAACATATTCGAATGCTATAAATTATACGGTTTGAACAACTTTTTTTGCGCTAATATTTCGAAATTTCATTCCATCTCGATTTTAATACCTTCCGTTTCAAAAAGGGTTACAAATTCAGAGTAAGTATAACTTTAATAACAATAATAATAATAACTTAATTCATACATAAATACAATAAATATTACAATAATTTGAAACAGTGATATTAAGAAATGCAGTACAAACAAAGACAGAGAAACCTACTAAAACTGAAGTTGTGTGTGGGACTCCTATATTATGAAATGCATAATTAATGAGCCGAATTGAGAAACAATACAATTATTTGTAATATAACGTACTGTATATAGATCATAGTTAGAAGCAGGGCCGTCGCTATGGGGGGGAGCCTCTCCCCCTGTTTTTTCAATTTGGGAACTTTTGGGCCATGAAGATAAAAACAATGATAGCAAAAAAATTAATAAAAATTAAAAAAATAAAAATTAGAGAAAGGAAAAGGAGAGGTAATAAGAAAAGGGAAAGAACCAGGAGAAGGTTGGGATTTACCAATATGCATAACTTGAAGAAAATTCTGAGTTGTTTGAAATCTTCAAAAAAGTTTAATTTCTCCCTAAGTAAGAAAACAGTCCTGAACAGTCCACACATTTTCAAGTGACAATTTTAAAAAATTCCCAACTTTTCGCTGTTTTTTCTATTTGGAAAAGTTGGAAAGTTTCGGGCCTTGAAGATAGAAAAAATAATAGTAGAAAACAATAAGCACAATATTATTTAAGTGTTGTTTCCTTTCATTTGTATTGAATATTCCCAAACATGGTGGATATGGTGGAAGACTAAGGACCTTGGTCCAAAGTAGAATAATTTCCATTATTATTTTTATAATCAACAAAATTTATTTTTGTTTGTGCATACCCTTACGGGCATAATCATTCAGCCAATCTTTGGATAGCTGAGTGAGAACATTAATATATATTATAGTAGTAACTAATCCCTCGGCTTTCATTTCTTCGAAAGTTGGTAAATTTTGCTGGTGGGGCTGGGAAAATTTGGATTCCCTCCCCCACCTGGTTTTTCTTTTTGCTACGGCCCTGATTAGAAGTATATATAGATAATTATGAACATAAATATAATATTAAATTACAGTACTTTGATAGGAATATTTGAGTGAAAAGTGCAATTGTGCAACGGTATAAAAGGAAAGTATAACCGATTTTGAACTATTGTCGTTTTTATTTTTTTATGAGAATGTTATGAACGAGGTCCCTATTAATATTGAGTACATACATTTTGAAGATGTTTTTGAGTAGGTTAATATTATTTATTGAATAAATGTATCTAGGTCTTGTACATGTCCGGTAAGAAGTTGAAGATTTTCCCACTGTGGTATTTGTATGAGTGTTAACCAATGGATTTTTTTTGTTGCGTTCAGTTGTACATCACCCTTTGATTAAGTTCGTGTCTAATTGATCGACGTGTCGTTTTGTTTTTGTAGATATACAAGATTAAGTTGTACATGTATATTTGTCTGATATCGAGTAACTTCGAGTCAATGAAGATTTGATCAGAAGAATAGTAATTTTTTGTGGTACATGATTTTAAGTATTTTTCTCTAAAGTACTTCAGCTTTCTTAAAGACGGATATCTAAAGTACCACCCCAGTTCAGTATAGCATACTGGAGTCGAGATTGTACTAAGGCGTAGTATATTATTTATTTTAAGGTACCTAATTAATATCGAGGATAGATCTCAAGTATTTAAATTTATGTAGTATGCTGTATGCATCTTAAAGATTTCGAGATCTGGGTAATATGTTCATTTCACCTAAGATGAGGATCTATTGTAACTCCCAGGTATTTAATTTGGTGTGTTCGTGAAATTCTCATGTTTTTTTGTGATCATTCAGTATTGATTTATCATAGTTTGGCAAATAACTTTCGTAGTTTGCGAACGGCAGGAACTTGATTTTTTCAAAGTTAATCGTGAGTGACTTGTCATCGAACCAATCTGTTAATGTTCCGATTTGATTTTCAACTTTGGTTTTCAATCTACTCCAATTTTTGTCGGTGTAAAGTATGACCGTGTCAGCAACAAAACTGTAAATTTCCATAGTTGGTAGGCTATTAATATATATTTTGAAGAGCATGGGTCCAATCACAGTTCCCTGTGGTATACCATAGGTAATTTCCCTTTGTGAGCTGACAGTAGATATCATTTATTTCAACCATTTGTTTCCACCAACCAAATAACTTCTGAAAAGTTGTAAAGTTTTTCCACGTATTCTAGAACTCTCCAGTGCCTTCAACAGCTGGACATAATCAACAGTATCAAAGGCCTTTGCTAAGTCCAAAAATACACACAATGCAGGTCTTTTGTTATCTACCCATATGATCGTTTATTTACCCTGTCAGGGCAGCTATTGCATTTTTTGTTGAGATACCTCTTCTAAAACCATATTTTTGACAGGAAATCAATCTATATTTTTCGAAGTACGGTATTATCCTAGCGTTGAGTGCTTTTTCGAATATCTTGCTGAAACTTGATATTGGTAATATTGGCCTATAGGTGTTGATTAATTGCGGGTTTCCTTTATTGATTAATGCACTCTTCTATTTAACTGTAATTTCAAATACTATCAACCATTGAAATACAATACGTTGATAATACCTTGTGGTTTCGTACGTACGTACAGGTTCGTATTTAATTTGTGGTTTTCATGTACAGGGTAGGTATTTGATTTTTCCTTCTTATTTATGTTATCATGGTTGATAACATCATGGTTGATAACTTTCTCACAGAAAGTTCGCCCATATTATTGAACCTATACACAATCATTTCACTGAAAACGAACGAATAATTTAGAAAAGTTGACGTTATTCGATTTCGTCGACACCCCTCAAATTTTTTAGTGTCCTCCAGCCCGCTTACACATTCCAAGATCAATTACGAATCACTATGTAGGTAAGTGACACGCTACATCATAACAAAGTGTTGAAATTGATAAAAGAAACCATGACAACCAAACAATTGCAATCCAATTCCAAACCTAATAATCGACCACCAAGGCCGCCGGATACTCGTAATGTCTGCTTCCAAACACCAAACCTTCCGTAACATTCAGCGTACTCAAATTTACAAAGGGATGACCTTCCAAAACATTTGTCAGAATGGCATCCGACGAATGCACGCAAAAAATAAATCAAAAGCCAGCAAGCGAAAGTCCTAATCAATAAAGAAATGAATGTCTACTGTAACGAAAATATGTGAAACACGTTCCAGTCAAAGTTTTGCGAGCAGGGAGTAAACAACCTCCCCGTGAGCGTTCGTGCCACGACTGAAACTTTATCACAATCACCCGTGAATGAGAATTGTTTACACGTGCTGCTTTCGTTCCGAAAAGTATGTTGTTCTTCCACGGACATGGCCGGCAATAGAAATCTCTCAGCTTTCCGACAGTTATCTCTCAGCTGCGACGGACCCAAAATCAAACATAAATTATCTTTGAAGAAACAGTTTTCCGAGGACATACCAGATCTGCGAGAATGGCCCGGTCCAGACGCAGGCATCAAAATATCCTTGAGCAATAAAGGTAAACCTCCTGTAAAACACGCCTGGGTAGAGGACCCGCTAACAGAGGAAGCTGTGGTTGTGAACAAATGCATCAAGGAAGCAAAAACAAGCACCTCCGAAAAGTCTTTGGAGAAGGAATCAATCCTGCATTCAAAGCAGGAATTAGCTGAAAGATTGCGACATACCCTCAAAGATAGAGGAAACGAGAAGTTTAATTTGAGAATATTTTTGGCGCACGATAGTAAAGACCTCGATGAAGATGGTCGCCACAATAAAGAAATAGAACCAGAACTGCCTCTAGAAACCCCAAACGATACGCCAAAGTTAATGACGCCTTTAGTAATCAACAAGAACCCGTTTAAATTACGCAAACCAATCAGTAGATCTAGGACTATTTTTAGCGAATCGTGTAGTTCTTCTTCCCCAACACCAACTATTAAGCATGCTTTCGAGAGTAGCACCGTTGTGGTGGTTCCTGTAATGGATAGCGACGATCCTAGCTTCGAAGACGTGAGTACCGATTCTTTATTTACTAAAGAAACCACAAATTCTGTTGAAAGGGGAATCAAAGCCATAGACTCCGTAATAATCAGACCAGTCAGCGCAGCTAGCAAAAGGGAAAAGTTCCAAAAACGTATCAACTCCGCCTTTACATCTACTATTAGAGAAACACCAAAACCTAGACGTCCACTAGTGAGATCCTCTTCTGCACCCTGCAAACCTGACCTTGGAAAATCAAAACTGAACTTACCCAAGAACAAATTCAAACCTTCTAGGAGGCTAATTCAGGCTAAGCAGGCGTCTATAGATAATGATGAAGTCGGAGAAAATAACGAAAAGAACCCAAAGAGTAAGAAAGAGTTAAATAGAACAACTGCTGTAAATGGGTGTGATGTCGTGACCATGGTCTCCTTAGTGAGTCCTGCTGGAAGTGATTGCGAAGAAGTTCTGGAGAATATCAATGAGAAAGGGGTACAGAAGAAGGAAACTCCTAGATTGCAAGAAGAAAATAATATCCCGAAAATCATGTCTTTACGGAAAGCTGCAAAATCAGGTGAGAAATATATTTCAATAATATATCTATTTACTTTATATATTTACCTTTGATACTAAAGTTGAATCCGTCTGAAACTATGTATAGATAGTTCAGACATTTATAAAAATCTATCCAGCACGTTGTTTGTTTTCTTAGTGGTTATTAGTATTGATGTTTTTTTTGGTTTCCATTTGAAATCGAAAGATAAATAACTGAAATTACTTATACCAAAGAAATATAAAAAATAACGTTGACAGAGTTATCAATTTTGACAAGTACCTACTCGTATTTCCACAAATAATAGTGGTTTTTTGGCGTCCAACGTGCATCAGAATAATAACTATAATTAACTTATACCAAGAAAAATTGTGAGAACAAAAAAACGACGAAAATAAATCAGCAATTCTAAAGTATGGGAACATGTCTGGGCCCACCAATATATAAGATGGTCAAAAATAAAGCTTATTCATTGGAAAAAAACGAAATTGAAAGAGAAGTTCAATGAATTTATATACATACTGAACAAAAACTCATTCAGTCAACTCAAAATTGAAGTTGGGAATGTATATTTAGAAAATACATTTTAGCAAATATAGAATATATATAGTTGATGGGCTCTTGTTTAATATAACTGCCTTTCAGAGAGATCTGCAGTGAAAGAGGGGGCAACAATTGTTCCGTTGTTTCCCTCTTGGAAACCTCGTTTATCTATGATATTTGTGGTCCTATAGACTGCGTCTTCGTAAAACGAGATGTCAGCGCTCTTGATTTCTCAGGCGTATCCTTTAAGGACAGATGAGTCCGGCAATGCATTCGCTTGATACCACCGATGAGACAATGTCAGGTCGAAACAGCGACGTCCGCTGTTGAGGCGGATTTACACCAAAAGGACAAAACCACAACAAAACATCAACTGTCGATTTCGACAAAACAAAAACTTGAGTTGTCAAATCAAGAAACATTTTGAAGAGTATGTGTCGCAGGCGACTGTTTTTGTCAACAACGAAATTTAAAGTAAAGTAAAATAAATTTATTGACTACATTACACACTCAAATATGTTTGTAGCAAGTCATTTACAATCAAAATAAGTCATAAATATTGGAAAACACAAACATTTCAAATATTAGACAACACAAACATTTAAAAAATTATCTAAAATATTCTGCAGTCAAAAAAAAATAAGTACACAATTGAACAATTACAAGAAAAGAAAATTAAAAGATTCCAAACCAAGTTACTTCATGAGGTTTCGATTGTTAGTATCCACAATCGTCTTCCGGTGATAACTGGACTTATTCCTCCGAGATCTGACTATTTATAGGTCATTCGAGTGCTTTCACCTATCCCCCTTCCCTCTCTCCGCTTCATTGGTTTTAGCGGAACTTGGTCGTGTTCCGCTTGATTAGAGGTTTCCATATGTTGCGTATCTCTACGCTAGCTTGACTAAACGCGTTGTTGGACCACATATATGTGGCTTCTTTGAATTTTCTCCTAAACCAGTGTTCCTCCTTTGGGATGATTTCAGCTTGAGCCGCCCACTTGATGTGTTAATGATGAGTCCAAACATGCTCTGCTGTAGTGTCTGATTAAGAAACTCGAATTTTCATGAATTTAAACTAAAACTGCGTATATGTATAATGTATGTAATGGCATTATCCTAAATTTTATAAAAAGATGTTGCCAATGTTCTCTATAATTAGAGTGACTGATGATTTGTATAGCTCTTTTTTGAATCTTAAAAATATTCGTAGATCCCGTAGAATTTCCCGAGAGAACTACACCATAGCTAATGGGAGAGTGAAAAAACGAAAAATACGTTGTTTTTAGAATATGGGGACTAGTTACATATCTCAATATACGTAAAATAAATAGTGTTGATTATAATTTACTTTTCAACTGATTAGTGTGATAGTTCCTAGTCAGGTTATTGTCCAAAGTTTTTCCCAATAATTGTACCTCTTGCACGTCATCATTTACAGTAGGTACGCGCAGAAAAATGCAGATTTAGGATTTCATTAGTATTCAATTTAAGATTATTCATTGTGAACCAACTTTCTGCCATATTATTCACTTCATTACCTACCATTGAGAGTACCCTCCGTGTCGTCAGCAAACAAAACTAATTTGTAATGAATAGCAGTGGCCCCAGTACTACTTCTTTAGGAACCCCATGCTTTACAAGTTTATATTGAGATATTTAATTATATAGTAATATAATTGAAATCAATGAATGAATTGCCCAAAATGCCAGTATTCATATGCAATGTGTAATCGCTAACCTCTGAAATTGTTGTTTTTTTCTGTAGAACTATTTTTGGTCAATATAATTTTCACAATAAAAAAGTGATTGACGATATATTTCATTATACCTATATTTGTCATTAGTAATTCTCGGTCCTTCTGCAACAGTAATATTTAAAACTTGCTTCAAATTTTTTACAATTACGAATGTATTTCTTTGATTTTTTCCAAACAATCTCTTAACATTGTGAATGAAAACTCTTAAGCAGTTCACCGAACTGTTGTTGAATATTTGAATATTTTGCCTGAAATTTGGCTTTTCGGAAAAATACCTTACATTTTATTGGGGTCACAAGAAAATGATACCGTCAATAAATGAAATTTCTGTTGCGCGAATCGAATTTATTATTACTAGACCATACTTTTCCGTTGGAAAACTGAATCGTGAACTGAACAATACCTAATAAACTTTCTTCGAGTTAAATTACCTATTTCTATTGTTTCCTAACGCATAAAATCCTGATACACGATTTCACAGATTTTGGTTGCAACAAGACAGTTCGATTTGACATTTTGCAAATTCAGTTTGGAACATCTCAATCAAATACTTCCTCATCAGTGGATTGCCAAATGGGGACCCATTGAGTAGCCGATAAGATCACCAGATTTATTCCCGTCGGACTATTTTCTCTAGAGTTGATAAAAAGTAAAGTTCATTTTAATACAATTGAAAACATCGAGGCGTTAACGGGAAGAAATCGGTAGGTAAATCCCTCAATCACCCTATGAATAGCTGATAAACAGTTTAATCTTAGCTCTGTTACACCAGCGACGCAAAGTACGGAAATCGCATTTACAAAATGCCAAAATTAGGTACATTTTAGGTGCTTTTTAAGTACCGAAGTCAAAAAGTAGGTGCTCTGTAACTTCACCGCAACTCAATACTCAAAGTTGCGTTGCCAGCATTATGTAATGCTAGAAACGCAATAAAAATAATAATGAAATAATGAATGTTAAGGAAACACTAATAGGTGCTTATTGAGTGTTGAACGGTGAGGATCATAAAATTTTCTAATTAATAAACAAACGCTTCCAATTTCGCTAAACAACAGATCTTAGAATAGGTCTCTCGAAAACAAGAACGAATGCTCAATCAGGTATAAACTAAGCGTGTGGTAATAAAGTTCTAATTAGGCGCTTGCAAGAAATTGAGATGAAAACGACTGTGAATAAACGGAAAAAAATTCAGGATACCTGATTTGAGAAAAAAAAACCATATGCAATAAAGTCTTGAAATGCTCTTAAACTAATACATAGACAATAAAAATAAAGTGCTAATTAAGTGCTCACTAGATATTCAAAGTAAACCTAGATTCCATAATGCCTATGGGGCTTATGGATCTGAAAACCGCTATGACTGATGGACTGAGTTCTTACAGTACGTTCCTCAATAGTGTCCATTGCAGCAGTAATGAGATGTTCATTTTGACATATTGTTGCTTCAATCATTGCAACTTGCTCAACTGATAATAATTTCTCATTTTTCTCAATTTATGAAATTGATAATGTTTCATTGAATTCATCTAAAGTAAAATTTAAATCAGTCATGGTGGTTTTCAGATCCATTAGCCCCATAGCCATTATGAAATCTAGCAACGCAACTTTGAGTATTAAGTTGTGATGTAAGTTACACAGAACTTAATTTTAGACTTCGGTACCTGAAAAGCACTTGAAAAGTACCTAATTTTGGCATTTTGTAAATGCGATTTTCGTACTTTGCGTCGCTGGTGTAACAGAGCTTTTAATCTTCCTCTTGAAGATGATTACTTGGTGATCGAAACACGTGTCGAGGTGTTAAAATAACGGTTTTGGTGATAATGTTCAAATGTTCAACAAACTTTTCATGGATTGGACATTGTCTCGCCTTTAATGGACAGCAATTCGGAAATTTGATTTAATTCATTCTTCAGTGTTATTTTTTTTATTGAAGATATGTTGTTTCCCTTATTCATTATTCGAAAAAATTCAACTGATTTTTCTATAATTTTGTCAATGGAAGTTTTTGACTGTTCCGGAAATTTTGGTGTAGATTTTTCAGTTCAATTCAAGTAAGATGTATTATATTTTTTTTTGTTGAAAATATAAACTACTCACTTTAAAGACGAAGTAAGTTTCTCACTCCTTGTATAAAAAGGCATTGTAAAATATTGTATAAGTTAACATGTTTAAAGTTTTTTTTTAATGATCTTATCAAAAATGATTACAATTTTATTGATGTTTCACGATTTATTGATAGTATTCAATTCAATTTTTTATAATTCGAATAACAATCCCAAAGTTTGGAATATATGTGTCTTCCGAAAGTTAAAGCACTTGGAATTTTGCGTGTCTTCCGTCACATTCGCGAAACTCGTATTTAAAATGATTCATCACGTCACATGAGTTCGTGGAATTTCCAAAGTTGCGAATCTCTTTCACCTAAATGTTTTGTAAAATCTTAACTATTTCCTAATCTAGCAGATTTAAACTTTCAGGGTTCCAAAACTGTTACATATACTAGCAAACTCCCAAACTAATTTACTTATACATAGTGATTTTCATAAAATATGTTATATCTTACTTTGGAAATATAGGTTTAAAAAATATATTTTTGAAAAAGGGAAAGCAGTAGGTACTGATAAAATTGGTTAGGGCTTTCGCAACCGAGATTTTCAGTGTTACTATCTTTATTCGGGTTTAATCGAGGATTGTCATCGCCGATGAGTCATCGGCGAAT